GGCAAATCACAGGACGATGAACTGAGAAAGGTATAGAAGGAAGCTGATGGGTCGGTTTTGAGTCCTATGTGCGGGCAAATTTGTTTTTTAGCCTACTTGCCTTATTCTGAAAAAAAAAATAAATGCAGGTTTGAGCGACCATCATGCTATCTGCATGCCTGTGTATCCTCCCTGTCAACTTTTGAATACCTGAACCAATCTTCATAAAACTGGGAATGTAAGCGGTGCTATCAAAAAGTTCCCGAAATTTGAATTTTACCCGCAAATGGTTATGAGTACATCGGAATACCGCTAAGTGTCTCCCCACACACCCTTCTTGAATCAAAGTGGCAAGCGGCGTCGAGTTGAGTGGTTGGGTTTATTGTTGGTAAACGTATTTCCATTGTTGTGTTTCTGTGAGTTTGCGGTTTTGCGATGGCTGACCTGAGAGAGCAGCGTGTCTGTATAAAGTTTTGTTTTAAACTCCGGAAAACCGCTGCAGAAAAGCACCAAATGTTGAAGGAAGCTTTTGGTGACAACAGTTTAGGCCAGACACAAACTTACGACTGGTATAAGCGTTTCAAAATGGCCGAACATCGACTGATGACGACGATCGTTCGGGAGGGCCGTCAACGGGCAAAACACCAGAAAATGTCGCGAAAGTTATGGATCTGATTCTGCAAGATGGTAGACTGACACTCCAAGACCTCTGTAACACCTTGGGACTAAGTTATGGTACATGTCAACGAATTTTGTCAGAGGAACTGAACATGAAGAGGATTGCGGCGAAGTCTGTGCCACGACTGCTGCAAAATGAACAGAAGCAGCATCGCTTGGAAGTCTGCAGGGAACTTCAAAAACGGCTTCAAGAGGATCCAAACTTTCTTTCGAAGGTTGTCACTGGTGACGAAAGTTGGGTTCATGGCTAAGACCCTGAAAGCAAGCAGCAATCGTCGCAATGGAAGAGCCCTTCTTCACCTCGGCCAAAAAAAGCTCGACAAGTCAAGAGCAACATTAAGTCCATGTTGATCTGTTTTTTTTTATATTGACGCGATTGTTCATAAGGAGTTCATCCCTCCTGGTCAGTCAATAAAGAGTTCTATCGCGATGTTCTAAGGCGTTTGAGGGAGAACATGAGGAGAAAACGTCCAGAGAAGTGGCGCACGAACGACTGGGTACTCCACCATGACAATGCACGACCGCATACAGCTTACATTTGCAGGAATGTTTGGCTAAAAACAAGATGGAACTTGTTCCCCACCCACCATACTCGCCAGACTCCCAATTTTACGTTTAAGAGGTCCGGTAAATTCAGTGATGCTGTTTTATCTGTTACATAGCAACGAATGAAAAATCCCAGGATGATTAGAAATCAATAAGTTAAATAGCTGTAGAAAGAAGAGATCACAACATACTTTATTGTCACAAGGACGGGGTTTCTTAAGAACACCCAGATGGGTGGCAACTTTATGATAGCCCTGTTTGCCCCATAGCGAAAATGGGGCTTCATTTGTCGCAAAAGTGCACATCAGCGCGAATTCATGCAGCTAGAAAACAAATACATGCTTCCTTGTCACTGTACCCGTCACAGCGTTTTACTAGGCAAACTATGGGAACAACAATCTTGTGCCCTTTTCTGGCCGCCAAGATTCAAACCAGAGACTTCGAGAATAAGAAGGGAGTTTGCAGCGTTCGACTTCAAAGGTTCTATGTTAAGTTCTTAGCAAGTTCTGTAAAAGTGAAATAAAAAAAATCAGAATTTCAACTATTGCAAATTTTGAATACTGATTATCTTTGCATACAATATCAAGAACGGGCAAGGTTATACTGACTCAAGTTTCGTGTGGTACTCCGCAGTCCTTCCGGGAAAATACAGGATTGTGCTTCGATTGGGCCCTTAAAGTTTCCTTCCAATTCATCTATCATTCTTCCAGGCGTTGCTTACAGTATGGCTACTGATATTATATCACAAGAAAGCCACTAAAAACTAGCAAGTATAATTTTATCGCTTGAAAGAAAGTGGCCTCAATTAAAACATCAGTAACCTTAATACCAAGGGTGCCATGGGCATAAACTAAAGCTCACTATTGAATTGGTCAACGGATTGGTATCTCTTGCTATCATGGAATTATGTACATCACTAAACTCGCTTCTACACACTAGAGGTCACTTTCAGATGTCATTCCTAACAAAATGACATGAATTTGGAAAATGGATTGTATCTAAAATGCATCAGATATAAAGCTTGTTATCATAAATTTAAAAGTATAAACTTTTATATAATCACTTGTATATGAGTACTCAATTCATAATGTCTGCATGCAAAAAGGGTGTTTGCATGAACACTGCTGAGGTCGCTCATGAAATACTCTCTGAACAAAACAGCTATACACAAACAGAAGCCTTCGCTTAGTGGGGGTGGAGTCCAACTGGGTCCACTCGTCACGGCAGCCACTGATTGGTCTATTGTAGTCTGCCTCGAGTCATTATGATGATGGAGAATTTGGTGGAAAGAAGATTGGCAGGGGAAACAGAAGTACTCGGAGAAAACCCACCCCAGAGCCACTTTGTCCACCACAAATCCCACCTGACCAGACCCGAACAGAAGCCTTACAAATGTCCTTAAATCATTAGAATATTGACTACATTTAACATTTCACTGAAGCTTTAATTACTGGAAATGTTGCAGTAATAATTTCTCTATAGCCATGACTCCAAATCTAGCACTGGAATGAGCACATGCTCATTCCTTCTACTCTTTAGATGAATACTTCAATGTAAATAGAGAATGATGTAAAATTAAGTTATATTAATTTTTAAGCTAAAATTGCCTGTACTTATGTATGTAACCTTTTGACTTGTTCTGTATCCAAAGGTACTAACCTACTTAGGATTTATAGAATGTAAATAAATTCAATTCAATTCAACACAACATCATATCAAATGCCAGCTGATCTACCTCATGTCCATCCGAAGCAGTTGAATTTCATTACAAAGAATGTGTGCATGAAACATAACTACAGGACATTTTTAGCAGCAATAATGGTACATGATTGTTCTTTTCTTCTAGCTTGGTTAATAAAATCACTTGACTCAATGATGTCAGCTACAAATTTGAGACATTAGAGAATAAAAACGGCAAAAACTGAAACAGAAACAACTGCCACAATGTAATTGCTAATTAAGTGAATTAGATTCATACAACAGTTTCATGTGTGGATCCATCTGGACTCATATAGGACGCTGTTTTTCTTGGTCATACTCAGTCACCTTAAGTTCATGAGACAGAATGTAGGGGTAGGAATGAATAGGAGAATGTACAAGGGAGTGAGAGAGTAAGAAATGTCTGACTGTATGTGAGAAAGAGGGCAAGAAGTCTAGGAGAAGGAAATGTACAAAATAAGCACTGCAGAATATAAAGACATTCGCTTTTATGTCATGTAATCACCTATATACCAATCTCTTCTGAGAAACATAGGTTGGAGGATAATCATGTCACATATCCTGGTAATGCAACAAGTAATTAATGGGTTCTATGAATTGACAAATCGATTTATTGGACACTCACCAGTCGTAACTATAAATACTGACAACACTTCAAAAGATTGCTGGAACAATAACACATAAAGTAAAGTCTTCAACACTTCCACTCTTGGATGCTCCTTGCACAAATTCGGTGATTCAAGTCTGTACGAAGCCAAGTACAATTCCGTAATTCTGTGATCCCATAACTAACTCATTCAAGTCAAGTCGAGTCTTGTTATAAGTGGAGGTCAGTCAGGCGGTCTATCTTGGAATAAAGCACCCACCTGGGGCTTATGACCAGATTTTTATTACTGTCAGACAGTTGCGGGTTTGTTGACGTGGGACATTCTCTCTGATGAGAGGTCGGGTCTGTCGTTTATAATTGCTGCTGACACTCCCTTGGGTCCAAGTTCCATGGGACTAGCGACCATATTTTACTGTCTCAGATTCAAGACTTCCTTTTTGTCACCTCCTACGACTCACAGGGCCACAGTGGAGGTATTCGACCCCGCCTCCACATGGAAGTAACACTACAGGGGTAACTCCTTAGTTTGGCAAACTCTCCTGTTCTAATGCTCCAGTGAACCATGTAGAAGTCACCTCCCTCAACAGTACAGTTCTCGCATTCCTAGCCATTATTGTGCTTTTAACTGTTCATTGTCACGGATATCGGCTTTTAATTAGTTAGTTACATTGCGCATATCAAAACCCTAGTAACCAAAATTCTGCTGTGCATTTGTTTACAGCGTACTCTCGGAATGCGTGTAGCCAATCATCACCTAGCAATGGCTGACCTTATTGCGGGAACAATGTTTACACAGCCGTTAGCTGGCAATGGATGCCCGTCTTGACCTCAACACTCCGGTTTTTAGACGGCACGTCATAATATTAAAATGGATCTTAGATGGGATGGGGTGGTATAGACTGGATTGATCTGGCTGAGGATAGGGGCCAATGGAGGGCTCCTGTGTACATGGTAAAGAACCTTCACGTTTCATAAAAATTGGGAAACTCTTGAGTAGCTGAGTGATAGGTGGCTTCTCAAAAAGGGCTCAGCTCCATGGAGTTGGTTCATTTAGTTAGTTAGCTCTTCTGAGAAGATTGGTAAGTTTGATTTAAGCTTCACAGGAAGTAGGAACTTCGCTCAGAAAATTAATTCATACAGAAATACGGAAACCTAGATCCTTGTTCTATGTGACAAATTCAAAATTAAATTAAATTTTTCAAAATATATCAACGAAAATGTAATCAAAAGTCCATTCAGTAGGTTCGGAGAAGGCACATGGAGCCAGACAATGAACATTGCACATTCATTTCATCTACTTCATGCAACAACAGCTCATATAAATGTGTCTGCCTGACTACTAAATCATTAGGCTTAATGTATTAGAAATTAAAAACAAGTTAAAATAAACAGCAGAAATGTTTAGTACTAATAAGAACGTTTGGAAAATACTTTGTTAATTATTAATAACAGATTTTCCTTCTTAATGCAGAATGATTCCTGGAGTCATGAAGCCATGTCATACTGGATGTCTGAAGTTGAAGCGAGAATGGTGCAACGAAGACATCACCTGAAGCAAACCTGCACAATGTTAGGTTTGGACGTTTCTGGAAATGATTCTTTACACCGTCCAAACCCATGGGAATTTCTTGTAAACAGACCATACCATTTAGTATGGTGTAATGTATTCAAAGCCGCTTCTACGTCATGGATGTACAATTTCAACATCTTGGCAGGGTACAACTCAAAATTTTTAAAAAACAGCAAACTAGTGCCTCTCAATCTGGCACGACGTCGTTATCCCAGACCATCCCTCCATGCGCTACAACAGGCTCTCCATGATTCTATAGCTTTCCTCATCGTGCGTCATCCTCTAGAGCGACTACTGTCAGCATACAGGGATAAGATACAGTTCTCACTGCCTCACACCTTGCATCAAAAGCTCGGCAATGAAATCATTCTTAAATATCGTAAGAATAAACAGAAGGTAAATATGCACACTACTCAACCCACTATCTACGTAGTGACTTTTCAATTATATTTCTATATACAACAGGAGGAATGTGACTTATACACTAAAAGTTCCTGAATATGAAATATGCATGAACAACAACTGCCCCTAGAGCTCATTAACACCATTGTAGCAGAAGTCAAAGCTCAACGTCACTAAACCAAGGGCTACTGTTGGACATGATCATGAGCTAGCTCCATCTACCTCCTATCCTCACAAGTTATTTCCCTGTGATTCACTGTAATGATATCACCCATAATCAGTGAACATGGTAACTACAAATTCTCATTCTCTTAAAATGTTGCAGAAGTACTTCCAAAAAAAATCCTATCTCATACAAATGCCAAACATTCTGAATACTCTGACATTTTTCAAACATATTTGAAAAAAAAATCATCCAATTCCAAGGCCACTGTGAAAATTTTGTAACACAGAACACTGTACATTGAAGGGTTGTTAGCTCTGCACCCAAAGTCAAAGTTCAAAGACTACCTCTTGTTAGCTGTCCATGACCACCTGTTCACTATACAAGTGTCTAAACCTACCCTTCATATCTGAAAAACATTTCTGCCATCCAAGGATTTTACATGCCATGTCATGTTAAATTCCATAAAAATTAATAACTCTGTGACCTACAACTACATATAAAATACTCCCTAGAATAATAAAACTTTAAACTATCCTCCTTTTCTCTGCGTCTGATGACCTGATAATTATCTACGCCATTTCCTCCTAAGCAACTTTTCTTTTGGGGCTTTAGTATACAGCATGCTTAGGCATGCTGATATTATACATGGTCAGTGTTACACACCTGCCAGAGTTGTGACACAATAAAATATGGTTATGAGTCCCAAGGGACTAGGAACCGAGAATGACTGTGCTAGCAAGGAAATGTTTATTCTGAAAGCACTATACAGTTGCTGCATTTTTGATTATTCAGAATAATGTGTGGCTTTGTATTAATACATGGCGGGATTACAAATTTACCCAGGGAAACATGAGTATATGGTGGTTATTTGAAAACAACAGCTATTGGTGAATTCATGAAGTTTCTGTCTGTGTTTATTTTTTGTCAGGGAGCAGAATCAATCAATGACAATTTTAGTTGCTCAAGTTGTTACTGAAAGAAATTAAAGAAAAAGACATATTATGTATTTTTGATGAAGTCTGTTTTTATAGGTAACCTTTGCCACAGGCACTTTCCCTAGACAGCAGCATTACTTAGTGGATATAGTTAGTCTAAAGAGTTTAGGTTTTTGGTATAGCTGTGTTTCCAGAACTTTTCAAATTATTAACGTTTGGATTTTCGATGAAGTTCACTTTTAATAATTTCCTGTTGAAATATGAATGGTCCAGTGTAAGAATAAAATCATTCATATAACAGATCAAAAAACTGCTTGCAGATCAAAATACCCACCTTAGAAATTAATTTATGTATGACTTACGCTATATCCTTTCCCTCAGAATTGAGTTCATATTTCAATTCAGTACAATTTTAAATTTAGAAGGATGTTATGCTAATTTGTAAGCTACGGTCAATTGTATGTAAGTTATTTTATGATTCAGCCAGTATCTAGACTATAGTGTTGATGAAAGAATTCTGAAGGAAGGTGTTACAGCCTAATCAAGACACTACCCCAGAATTTGCCTGGAGGGTCAGAGTTAACCCATGAAAAATCTCAGCCCAGATAGGCAGTGTCCAGACCAGGATTCTAATAATCACCCCCCTCCCATATATAAATCTAGAATGTTAATGCTATGCCAACCTCTGCAGCATTACAAACAGAAGCAAACTTAGATGCCTGTCAAAAACAGTGAGATAAATTCAAGCACAATTCTTTTAGCTCTTTAAATTCCAGGCCAAAGGACCAGGAAACAAGTCTACACCTAAAAATCCTCGCTGGCCAACATTCTCAGAGTTTGTGCAGTATTTGGTGAATATCCAACAGAAAGGAGATCCATTTGACATGCACTGGACGCCAATCACTCACTTCTGCACTCCATGCCAAGTGGATTTTGATATCATACTGAAGTTTGAAACTCTACAGGTAAATAAGTATAGCTTTGATCTGTTACCACTGTGATTCCCAGCCCAGTGTCTCAGGCACCCCAGAGGGAAGAACAATACTTATTAGTATTACCAGAAAATATGGTATGACCAAAAATGGTGAATAATGTCAACTAGCTCTCCAGATGTGCTCAGTGGAGAATGCGATCAAAACCTGCAAGCATGTATGACCATGGTTGTATTTAATTTAAACTCTGTGCATAATAATCTACAGCATAGCTGAAGCAGTGATTTGCACTGAATCAACATTAGTGGTACGTGTTAGTGACAGCACATTTTTTTTGCATATGAAAGTTGTGATAATTTATATCACATACCATTATAGACAACTAGTATAGGATGCGCTACACACCCTCTTCAGCTGAAAGTCACGTACGTACAAGTCTGAAACAATTTTTGAATCTCCTGGCTGATTATCATAAACTCAATCATTCCACCAATCCACCTTCAAACTTCATAAATTTCATATCTACAATTTAAAATCCTTCCGCATCCCCATTTCATTCCATCCTCTGATTGGTTGTTTTTATCAGACCATATGCTTTATGATGTATAAAGTGATCTTTGTCTACTGATGTTCTGTTGCTAGGTAACAATTCAGTTTCATGCATTTGGTACTTACATGCATGATGCCACATGGTTAAATAACTGATAACACACCATATCAAATCCTTTTAAACTGAGAACCTGAATTTAATCATACAGAGTGGGGAAAAGAAAAAAAAAACTGTATACACATTTATATGTATGCAATATTTGCTTAAATAATCTATTGATATATCTTCGGTTCAACTTTGAAAATCTGCAGATAACCCCCATAACACACTTTCACAGAGGTTATCTGTGGATGTTTTCTAACTTGAACCAAAGACATACCAATAAATTATTGAAGCAGGTATTTCATACATTTAAGTGTACATACGTTTTTTTAGGGCCCTCTGTAAGTAAGAATAAATCAGTGTCTGTTTCTTGCTGCCCACTAACTTTCATATGTCAGTTAAAAGGTTAAAGTACCCTCATACAGTTTACACTGTTTATAAAGCTAAATGAAGATCAATGTACAACATTAATCCAATATACATTTATTTACAATCATTAAGATGCGTGATGTAAGACATAAGCAATTTCATTCTTTAAATAATTCAGTTTAAGGAAAATCTACATGTGAATGGGCACAGCACTAGCACCATTTAATTTATAACCCTGCAATTATGTGACATATTAATTCATTGCTATGTAGGGTGTAAAATAACAGCATGGCAGCTACACAGCATATTGTGACATGACGACTAAAATATTGCCCACTGCAAAACAATGAAAAACTAAACACGTTTCCGCAGCAATGAACACGTGATGTGTCCCATGCGGAAGCAGATTAGAATACCTCCACCACAGCCCTGTGAGTCATACAAAGCGACAAAAAGGGAACCTGGTGCCTGGGGTATAACTGGGCCACCCTGTCACTGGGGGACATAAATACAGGGACCTGGTCCTCCAGGTTGGGGGTTTGACACAAGGTTGATGACCTTGTGCTGTAAAAAATTGCTGTTGTGAAATCCAAAGAAATGAAAACCAGACAGTCTAATTCAAAACAGAGTAGACAAGTCTGGAAGAATCTTCTAAGGGAGGCTATGGCTAAAAAAGGGGTGTTTTTCTGATGATGATGATGATCATCATCATCAACATCATGAACACCTGATATAACAATACAGGAATTGCTGCAGAAAGAGAAAGCCACAATAAAAGAACTCTAAGTGGTGTTCTCTGTACGGTCCATGCCAAGGCTATATAACAGGAACTGTATGACAGCCGCTACCAAGCAAAGACTAGTGAAGATATAACAAACTGAGAAGAAATAGCATTTGCTATAGTGATTTGTTAGGTGTGTAGATTAGCAGTAGTGTTATTACATGTAGTTACAAGTTACAAGCTTTCAGTAAATCCAATCACCAATCCAAACTCCGTGTCTAGTCACTAACTAGTTACATTTGACAATATATACCTATTTTTGGTTTTACAGCAATAAGTGATAAACCATTATAGCTAGAAAGGAGAAATTTTGTACAACACATAAACATACCTACAAATTTTGTTTTGTGTCAGAAGTTTCAAACAAGAGGACAGTATGAAATTTTCAGTTTATATTGGAAAACTTTTAAGCATTAGAAACATATACCTAACTCTCTGTTAGCTGCAGTTGATGGTTACAACACCCCTCATACAAGAAACTGTCATCTGACATGATCATGAGCTGTATCTAACCTCCAATCCTCACAGCCAACTTCCCTAAGGTCAACCTTAATGTTTCTAGAAACTCCTCAGATTTCCAAATAAATGTGCTTTGAGAGGTTTCCCATCTGAAACTCTGAAGCATCTATACTAATGGAATTATACATAAGGGCAGCTCAGTACACTGTGCAATTACTTGTAAATATGTACCGATGAACAGGTTGGCATAGAGGTAACACCCTAAGATTTGTATTTAGAAAAGTACAAGAGTGTCAAAAAATTGTATTATGCAGACATAGTCAGAAGTTCATGAATTGCACTAAGATAGTAATTCTGAACATAGGAGGATCAAAACTACCTGATTCATCAGGCTGGCCTACAAGACGTAATTCGGCCTGAGTGGAAGAACCCTGCAAAAGGTCGCACCACTACTGAACTGGTCACTAGCTACTATTCCCAGCTCACTACAGCACAAATATTTCAACTCTATCATATTTATAGGTAAGTGAAATGTATGAGTCTCATTTCAGCACATTCAATTGTATATAAAGCTAGACAGCACTACACCATGAAAATACTTAGGAAGAGTGCAAGTACAATTTCAAATATAGTGAAACCACTAATTTGGAATTCGCGATAATTCGGATAACATTTTTTTGCACATTATGATCTTCATGACCACATTGCTGAAATCAGAAAAATCTAGCAGAAAACAATATAAAAGAGGAACACGAATCAAAATAATTAATTTTTAAACATGGCCTCAATAATACTAAGTATGTAGGTCAGTATAATGTTTTTAAGACTGATGTATTTTTCCATTTCATGACAAATTTATTTTATGATATGCAATATAAGTTTCAAAATAATGTTGTATTGCCCAAAGAGAGACAAGAAGTCCATTTTATAACTTCCCTGAACATACTTCCAGTAGCAGTTCTATAATTTGGACTTCCAATAATTTGGACAACAATTAGTCCAAATTAGTGAGGTCTTACTTTATTCCTAACTTATCACTAGATGGAGGTGGATGTTCAATATCATGTCCATGTTGCTTTAAGCTATGGACAGTCTCGATATAGTGTTAAAGGGAAAAATTCCCACCCTGACAGGACTCAGACTTCAGTCATCCAACCACAGAACTGGATTTTCATGTTACTGAGTGTACTGCATTAAAAGTTCAAAATCAGAATCATCTACATGCAAGCACGTGCACACAGATATACATGTATTCATTCATTCATCTGTAATCTCTCAAGATGACAGGTCCGCAGTCCCTTAAAGAGTTCCTCCACTTGATGTGATCTAGAGCTTTCTCCTTCAAATGAAAATATCCTCTTCTGTCCCCAAGGTCATCCAGCATCTTCTTACGTCTTCTTCCTTGTCTTCTGGTCACTTCTATCCGCCCCTCTATCTTTCTTTCAATAACCTCTTTTAGAAGGCCGTTACCACATAAGATATGACCAATCCAATTAGCCTTCCTTCTTATTTCTTGTAGGATATTCCTCTGCTCGCTGACTCTAGATAACACTTCTTCATTTCTCACATAATCGGTCCAACTGATCTTCTCCATCCTTCTCCAGCACCACATTTCGAAGCTTTCCAGGTGTTTCTGATCTACTGCCCTAAGTGTCCAAGTTTCAGCCCCATACAAAGCGATGCTCCAAACGTAGCATTTCACTAGTTCCTTTCTCAAATTTAAGTCCAATTTGCTGGTAAAAAGGTTCTTCTTCTTGCTAAATGCAGCTTTTGCCATGGCAATCCTAGATTTAATTTCACACATACAACTTCCATCATCTGCTAACAAGCTACCCAAATATTTAAAACATTTCACATTCTCCAGTTGTTTTTGGTCTATCTTTATTGTAACTGGGGTTGGTTGTCTCAAAATTTTCATTACTTTTTTTTTCCATCATTCATTTCCATGCCATAGCACCTTCCAATTTCGATTAGTCTATCAATCATATCCTGTAGCACAGTTTCTTCCTTAGCCATTAACACAAAGTCATCTGCATATTTCACAGTTTGAATAATTTGCCCACCTAATTTGAAGTCTCCAAGCCCCTCCGGAGCTTCTTTGGTAAGGCATTCGCTGTACAAGTTGAACAAAATTGGTGATAAACAGCATCCTTGTCGAACTCCTCTTCCAATCTTCACACTTCTTGTCTCCCCTCTGTCCAGTTGCACTCTAACTTTCTGATCCATGTACAATTTACTAATCAATCTTCTTTCACGCCAATCGATACCTGTTTTCTTTAGGATCTGTATTAATTTGGTCCAATTTACACGGTCAAATGCCTTCTGCCAGTCTATGAAGCAAACACACAGTTCTTCATCTATCTCCAAAGTTCGTTCTGCTATAATTCTCATCATCCCAATTGCATCCCTGGTTCCTTTTCCTCTTCTAAATCCAAACTGATCCTCTCCAAGTATATCCTCTATTTTTCTTTCAATTCTTCTTTTAAGTATCTTTGCTATTATCTTTGCTGTATGTGCAATAAGGCTTACTGTGCGATGGTCGCTGCATTTTGTAGCTTTTGTCTCTTTCTTTAAGGCAATCATTGTCATGTCTGTAAAGTCCTTGGGCCACTCCCCAGTTTCATATATGGTGTTTATTAATGTTTAAGAATGTATATAACAGGAGGCAATTTATGATTATGTATATGTATGCTATGGCATTCCCCTGCCATAATAGTTGTCACATACTTCCACATAAGCGGCAGCTCTATGTTCAAACCTGTGCCATCTGAAGGATATAGATATAACTTCTTTCACTGTTTAATGGAGAAGGGAGTGAATGTGATAAAGGTATTGGAGGAATAAAGAAAAGAAAGAAATAGAGTGAATAATGAAGATATGCAAGAAATTATTTCCTGTTGAATTTTGATGGACTTCAATGGTCACACAGTAGCGTAGTTGGTTGAGGCATTATGATACAAGCTGGTAGACGCAGGTTAAATTTCCGATAGGGTCACTGGATTTTTTTCAATCTACCTAATCCTTTCAGCTGCACTATGGCCCTGGGGTGAACTCAGCCTCTACAGAAATGAGTACCAGGAATATTCAGGGGGGGTTAAAGGGCAGCTGGTGCGTAAGGCTGACAACATTAGATGTGGGAACCTCAACTTCTCACAACCCTATGGGACTTCACAGCCTGTTACAGGAAGAGTTTAGAGTTTTACCGTTTAGATAACAGTTAAAAAAACATGGCCAAATTTGAATGAATAAAGGCTGCTTGTATTATAAGCTTGCCTATAAGGGAAATGAACACCACTGAAATCACAATAATGAACAACCAGAAAATTATTCTTTTATAGTTAACATTATCATTGCAACCATTTAAACTACAATTCAAACATGTATGTTAAGCAGCTATGGTTAAGCAGACTATGTTTTTAAGTGGAAAAACACACTTCTTCCATATGAGGCATCCGAACTTGGTACACATTTTTACTATTCCATGCCTCTACTATCATCTGTAGAAGGTTTAGTGTCAATTGGATGACATCATTCTAAGATATTTTCATGAGTGGGTTAAGAAATGGAACTGGGAGAATAGGCTCACTGACAATTTTCATCTTTTATAGTGTATATGTCTGTCTGCAATGTGACCATCATTCGCAATCTAACAAAGTGTTTCTAACCTGTGTTGTATAGGTATGACTTTGAGCTCTTTGGCTACACCCTGGATGGTTACTTAGAACTTGGAATGACTGAATCCAACAGTCCAGACACCCCACCTACATGACATATACTGTGTCATATTCCCAGCTATTTAAACAGTGCCAGAATCTAGCTACATTGAGCCAATCTGTGAAAATTGAAACTGACCATTCATCATGGAGGAGTTTCAGGTTTTATTTTCTTTCCATTGGATGATAAGTGCTGAAGAATGTAATTATACAAGGTCAGGACTAATGCTGTCAAAAATATCCAAATAACGCAACATTTTCCTCAGCATAACTTTATTTCACCTCTATTATAAGATACACTAAGGTAGTAAGACAATTTTGCATATAAGAGAGCTGAACACTGTCAGGTTCACACAGTAGAGTTATCAAATATTTCACAAACATAAAACTGAGTCCACAAGCACTTCAATCAAGTTCATTGTCAACATCTTCCTTTTAAGTAAGCACAACAGTTTCTGATGGTTCAGATAATTCAACTCATCTTAGTATCTCAAATATTCAAGAAACACCTTTGCTAATGACACTCACTTGCACTGTGAATAAGTTTAGGGTTGAAATATTCTAGTACATAGATTTTAAACAGATCTGAATATTGACACCACTAGTTAGAATCTTTTGGTGCTACTAGAGTGATACTGTAGACATAATCAACAGAAAACTAAGCAAACGGGTTAATATTTAATGCCAAGCCTATATCACTTATAGCAGTTACTGAAATGTTAAAAGTTGTAAATATGTATACAGTCAAACTGTTTCAGATATTAAAATATTTGTTAGCATTTACTGAGAACAAGAGTTAGAAATTATTCTTCCATTTTCCCACATTCCTTGTATTTCATGAAAGCATCCAATAATCCCTCAATGTCAGATGATTTAAATCAACTTAAATAACTTAAGGACAGAGAAGGGGGAGCTTTAACACCACACACGTATACATGCACACACACACACACACATAAAAAGTATGCTTGAACTGAAATGACTAACTTCTGCACAACCATAATCAAACATTCTTCAAATTATATGTATAAGCCAGTCCTATAATTCGTGTATAATATGATGGTGTGATTTACATTATATGCGTAATTCAATTTGATGTGGTAGTCCTTAAAGCAGTCACAACAGAGCTCACCATCCAACCTTCTACACGAGTAAAAAGCACCCTTCGGCTTGTCACACACTCATGAGAAAGCACACCTTCGCCATGGCATAATCTTCTCTACTGGAGGGAGTTTTCTACTAAGTTGTCACTCACTATTATACGAGTAAAAGAAATGTTGTCCCAGTGCTCTTGCTGTCAAGTAATGTTAAATAAATTACATGCATGATGGCAGCACAAAACAGAACTTCACAACATATACAGAGTTACAAAGTCCCACCTACTGACTGTATGCATCAACCACATGCAAAAATGAGAAATGATCACAGTTGCGAGACATGTTTCAATAAAGAAAAACTTCCTTTTTGTGGGCGTGGAACCTGAAACAAACCACTTGGAAAACCTATGCTTGGACTCTTCTTAAAGAGAGAAGATGTGAAGATACAGACAGCATCCACGTGGCACAAGATTGGGTTCAACAGCAGGATTTTGTGAACAACAATAATGGACCTTAGGGTTGAACAAAGGCAGGGAATGTCTTGACTAATTGAGTCAGTACTGACTTTTCAATTACTCTATTTCATAGAGTCATATAATCAGTTATATTATGAAGTTTGGTCTATCACCCTGAAAGAAGGAAACAGATCAAGATGCTTCAGGACAAAGTGCTGAGAGTATCTAGTCCCATTTAAAAGGTAATGGAAGGAAGGTGAATATTACATAATGAATATCTTCAGTTTGTACTCATCATTTCATACTATTAGAGTGATAACATCAGGAAGCAAGAGGCGAGAAGGATTTATACCACACATCAGGGAAACAAGAAACAGGAAATTACTGAAACAGACTTAGGTACAGATGGGGCTAGAATATTACAATGGATCTTACGAACAGGTTGTGAAGATGTGAAATGGCCTGATTTTGCTCAGCACAGGGTACAATGGTGGGTTTTTGTGAACATGGTTCTAGAAAACCAAGAAGTTTCTTGGAGAGATCTATCTTCTGGGGTACAGAGCCATGCCGACAGCTGATTTTCAATAGACCACAAAGTCTTATATCCCAGAAGAGAGAACGCTTCGTAATCACCAATGTGAGACCTTCAAATCCTACAGGAAATTTCTTGATGAGTTCAATAACTGCCAACTGGTCAAGCAAGGAATGAAGGTTCTGTTACAGAGGTACAGATACTTTCATCAAGCTTAGTTTGCAGTCAAATCACACTTGTGATGAAGTGTGTGGGCTTGCCTTTTCATCTAGAAACACCCTTTCTGTATTATAATTGTGACTTACCTCTCTCCATTATTACATATGGTGATTCCTACCACCCACTTTCCATTGTGTATCCTTTGCCACGTTTCTCTAATTTGAAGTGCAGGCACTACGTCAAGGTGTTCTTTTGGCTCAAAGTCTTCAGGACCATCTTGACCAACCAGCCATACCAACTACAGAGAGAAAAAAAAGGATGTGATTAGAACTTAAAAAATGTAAGATTTGAGGCTTTCATGGCGGTGACTATGAAGAAAGCAGTCTTCTGGGATTTGGCACCGTGTATATGTGGTGTTAACCGACGTTTTGGAGNAAAATTATACATTTCTGTATGCCACAGTTCTAGTAGTCCTAAACAGATATAATTTCACAAGTGAATGGTGATTTGTTGGAAGGGCACAATTCTGAAAATGAGATGACATTTTAACAATATCTGTTTTAAGCTAAAATACCAGATACATTTAACATGCCTCTTACATTAAAAGTCATTTTAAGATGTTCTGGCATCATGAGAAAAGTATATTGACATCAGTTATTTCAATGACATTTTAAAGCTCATGTTCTGTGCTGAAATTAAGATGAACCAATATGGCTACCACATACTGAAACTCTATGTTTGAATCAAATACATGATCACAAAACAATTTCAAGATTTAAATCACTTTCTTTTTTATGCTTGTGTTATCTTTTTCATTCCTTCACCGGAATCCTAACCTTTTAACACATTTTGGTACTGTGAAATTAAGGCACGGATGTCAGCAATGCAACTATTTTAAATGAACTTCTGTATCATGTTAATTTTTTTTATATGAGGAAACTATGTTACTTCTGCTGGCCTAAAATGAGGCACAGTTAGGTGTCTCATTAATAGTGTGTTGCGGAGATAAATAATTAAGAAGGAAAATGTGTGGTTTACAGAAACTATAAAAATATCTTGTTTGGACTATAACCAGGTAAAAAAATGTATATCTCGGTGCTTTTGGGCAATAGAGTGCTCCTATAATTAAAGCAAATTACCGGTGTTACAATTGATCCATGCACATTGTTAATTAATGTCGATGAAAATCATTATATCCCAGAGGCATTGTGGGAACCAGCTACAACTCCTAATTCTTCTGCAAATTACTCAAGGCAGTCTCTTAGAGTGCTGACATTGCAGCCTGCCATAAATATCATCTCCAGGTAAGAGCATCAGATTCCAGAAAAGCTGTGAAGATAAATGGAATGGTTACACCTTTTATGATGATGTAGGAATTATTCAGGCAGGTGTCTTGGTCCTGCTGCTTGGAGCTAAGATAACAGTGCTTGACCAAAACTCCTAGAACACTATGGAAATTCTTCTACCTTTGTCAACCATAGCTAAAACTTGCATTAATTAATCTATTAACCTTCAAACGCCTGACATTTTAAATGATCGTAGGGTGAGCTGGATGCAGTTTACTTAAATGCTTGCTGCTGTTGTTGGGCATTTAAATAATTTTAGGCATTTTATTAAAAATTCTGTACCTAATACAATGTTTATGATAAAGGAATGGTATTAACTTTGTTATTATCAACAAAGAACACAGTGTCACGTATTATAACATAAAATTTGAAAATATTTAGACAAAAAGTTGTGCTCTATTTTTATTTTTGTAATTTTGATATGTACTGTTCAAAGGCATGCCTTGCTTCTTCACCAAGTAGTTCTGCATTATAAAATCATTCCTGCTTGTATCACTTCTGCAAGCTTGGTGTCATAAGACAGCTGGAAGAACTAAAAACCATATTTTGTTTTTCTGCTCATAAAGTTCATGTCTTTGCTACACTCTTCAGATATCAACTCCGTTGACTACAGGGACAGAAAAGAGAAAGTATGGGAATTCAGGAGAGACAGGAGAGAAAATTCTTTGTTTCATACATCACTGTCAAGCCCATCAATTGCAACTGCAAGAGAACATTTCCCTTTTTTATGGTCACAACCAACACTTGCATCATGGCTGGGATACACAGTGCACTCAGTTTTCTGTGTGTTCATAGTGAATTCGAATATCATAGTTTCATTTCATCATGCATTGGCAAAGAAACATCGTTTGGAAGACAATGAAATTGAAGGGCAGCTGAAGCGCAAGAAATGTGACATAGGAATGTGCATTCTAGGCGCTTCAAAGAGGGCCATAAAAGACGAGATTTAGTCAGATGGCAGGGAGGAGCCTATATACACATGAAGCAGATAACAAAAAAATGTATGTATATTGAAGTTTATTATATTTATAAATAATTATTTAGGATTGTTTGTGTGCTTCTACTAGTGGCGTTTAAATGCCCAAATGCATGAATATGTGTACTTTGGCCAGAATGAATATACTTTTCAGTGTACAAATATGTGCAATTTGGATGTAAATGTTTAAGATTAGGTTCTATGCCTGTCGCTGGGCCTCCATGACTAATCCGCAAGCACATTACATCTTTGTGTTAACTGGGCAGATATCACAAAGTTTTTATGGTGGTGAGGAAGAAGGAAAACAAATTCAGCGACCAACAGACAGCACCTGATGGTAAAAGTCGATTTGCATGAGTCATTCAGCAGTACCCAGTAATTCTGATAGCAGTTTGTGAAATCAGTGACTGACACTTAGATCACTGATGACTTCGGATAAATTAATCATTCATATGCAGGAAATCACTGTTCATTATGCAGGCTGTTAACAAAATAAATAAAGCAAGAATTTACTAGTGAGGCAATTATTCAGATAGGTGGTCCTTTTGGAAATCAAAGCAAAACTGGCGAATAAAAATGATTAAAGAAAATATATTTTTACGAACATACAAAAATCAATGCAATAAAATAACCACAAATTAGAAGAATGGAAGTAAAAGTACTGTACTTAAGATTTGAAAATAACAAGACAAATTATAAAAAGACCCCAACAAAAAAGCTAATAAAATCTAGAGCCATAAAATGGGTCAAATGCCAGAATCATGCAAAAATACAGGTACCTTCGAGGCTCTTAATCTGTGTACATGTGCATGTGGACATGCACACATGCATGCATGAATACACACACACCACACTCATTCCATTGCATACACTCCTATATATATCAAAGAAAAATATAAGTATAATGCACAAAAACAGTCTGTAACTCTGAGTTCTGTATCTGATAATGGTTTCATTAAGATGGACAAACTGCTGAACTTACTGTGGATCCTGAAGAAAATGGAATCTTATTTCTGTGACCAACAACTTCACAATTATGTATCCTCAGTTGCTTCTTTATTTGTAGTTTATGTTCATATTCTTCAACCTTCATAGTTAGTTCCTACATAATACAGAAGGAACAATAACAGAAGGAAATTAAAAGCATGAATTGAATATATTCTCTGAGATTTACAACATGAAAAACTTTACTGGCTCACACTGTTCATTCTGATAATAAAAATAATTCAAAGTGGTGAAAGTCCTGGTACCAAACTAGCCTAGCAATTACAGGGTAGATACTCGTACTTCAAATTGTATTTACTGGCAGGGACATATCGATTTTTGTTTCTCAACTTGAGCACAGCTGGTTTTCTAACGTGAAAATTATCCTATATATTAAATATAAATAGTCTTAAAGCTGTATATTATGCATATTATCACTCATTGGTGAAATATGGAATAATATATTGGGGAAATACATCAGACAGTCATAAGGTCTTTGTTATACAAAAGAAAATAATAAGAATAATAATGGGAGTAGGCCCAACTCATATATGTAGAGATCTATTTAAAAAGCTTGACATACTACCAATCCCATGTGCATATTTGCATTCATTGATGACATTTGTTGTTAATAATTTGGATAAGTTTCAGACCAATAACTCTGCATATGTGATTGGTACCAGAAGGAATGACCACCTTCACATACCTTCAACACATTTATCATCCTATCAGAGAGGGGTGTATTATTCAGGTGTCAAGTTATTTAACACACTGCCGTCAAATATCACAGTTTTAAAAAATGATAAAAAGCAATTTAGGTTTGTTTTACGAACTTATTTGCAAAGTAACATATTTTACTCTATTGATGAATCTGTCAAGCATGCAAGGGGCTCAAAAGTTAATAAATGGTCTGTGTGCGTGAATTATATATTGTTGAGACTTGCTTGTTGTGAGTGTAGTAGTAAGCATGATGTCTGTTTTTGTCATGAATTTTAATATTTAATAATGTAACTGTTTTAATCATACGGCTTGCCAGTGTGCGTGGAATGGCAAGGGGTGAATTTGACAGTGGTTTTTCCACGACCCATGTGTGTTGTCCTGACAACTTGGGCTATCTGTGAGAGGCCTGATTATATATTTTATTGGACAAAGGACAAATGATNCGAATTTGTCGAGCATGCAAGGGGCTCAGAAGTTAATAAATGGTCTGTGTACGTGAATTATATATTGTTGAGACTTGCTTGTTGTGAGCTGTTGTGTAACTGTTTTAATGATACAGCTTGCCAGTGTGCGTGGAATGGCAAGGGGTGAATTTGACAGTGGTTTTCCCACGACCCATGTGTGTTTTCCTGACAACTTGGGCTATCTGTGAGAGGCCTGATTATATATTTTATTGGACAAAGGATGAATGATGTGTAGTCTTCATGAATTTGTAATAAGTGACATGTTTCATATCCAGCCCAACAGGGAGATGATTGGATCCATGAAGTGAAAATAAATGTAAATGTAAATCTCCTTGCCACAATATTGTGACTGGTTTTGGGGCATATCTGATGTGTACTTTTGAAAGGGACAAAGTTATAACATGAAGTTGTTCACCTCCAGCTAATGCCAATATCTCATACCAAATTTCACCCAAAACCATTAAGCTGTTCTGTATTCATACACAGAGAGTACCTGTTATTTTTTCACTTCATGGAAGTACAAAAAAGTCTTTAAACGACTGAAACTCATTTATCTACTCGTAATATAAAGAATGACAATGATAGGTGCAAAATCTATCAAAGGTTCAGATGCAAGAGAACTACAATATTATTAATGGTTACGACACATCATTTAAAAGTGTTCATACCTGATATTTTTCATGCAGAATGTTAGAGATGTTACAGTCATCTGAGCACATGCTACCATGTTCCTTAAAGTCTACAATTTTGTTTGGTGTTAAAGACACTTTATCATTCTTTGTCCAGATCCCTAGTTGAGGAAACCCAGCATTTGAGAAGTCACTCACCATGAACTTTTCCACATCTTCATACTCTTCCATAACCTTAAAAGAATTATGAAATTTCAGAACACTTCTAAACATAAAATCAGAATTCATTTACGAGTACATGTAAAACAAGTCTTTGGGCATATGATAACTAACTCCATGAAACAGAATCCTTTCAAAGCTAAGAGTCACTCAGCCAGTTGAGAAACTCCATCATTTATGGAACCAGAAAGTTCATTACTGTAATCACAAGAGACAGTCAGGGCCGGATGAATCCAGTTCACATTCTCAAAAACTAATGATTTAAAACCCACTTAAGTATTACCCTCAAATCTTTGCCCAAATCCTGCTAACAGTCTCTTCTATTCAGGTTCTCTGAATAAACGTCTGAAGGCATTTCTCATAATTTGTGCACACTATATGCCCAGCTCATCTCATTCTCCTTGATTTGATAGCCCTAACATTATTTGGTGAAGAGAATTATGAAGTTCTGAATAACACAATAAAAGTACAGACGAAAACAGAAAGTCCTCTAGGCTGGAGTTGAATGGGGGATAATGCTTCACCATAAAAAAAAAAAACATGGTGTGTGGTACAAAGATATGTGGATGTAAGAAAGCAACAGTAAAACACAGACCATAAAACACTTTTAAAACATATTCCATATATAAACTACAACATAATATAAATCAGAGTACAAATGTAGGCCAAATTTTACTCTGAAACCTGGACAATATGATTACAGCATCAGGAAGTTAGATACAAAGAAAAGTGCATAAAGATATTTCATACCTTCAATCCTCTTTCCCTAGACAAAATTATGATTCCATTTCCAGACTCGATAATGTAAAATATGTTACATTTAAAGTCATATGTTGTGAAAATTGTTATACTCTTTGGATCAAAGACCGAGATTTCACAGATACCAACAATATGACAACCAGAAAATTCCAAAACTTCACCATGAACTGTACAAATTATAATTTCCACACCGGAACCTGGAATAACGGAAGAAAAACATGTACATTAATTTCAGCATATCAAACACATGGCTTACTTTTTCAGGGTGTTCTACTTTTCCAGTTTCATTAAGTCAAGCTTTATGCATCTTTACCCATATATACATACATTCAGGCTGTTGTGCTAAGCCCAGGGGACCATTTTATATTAGCAGAGCCTTTCATAAAAGAACACTGATACCAATACTGATTAGTCAAAAACTAACCAATGCTAGAACAAAGTTACCCTATCTGATCGTATCTTTTATGGAACCTGAAGGTTCATTACAATGGTCACAAGAGCATGCCAGGAGTTCGTATTCTGAGCAAGATCCATTTTCCTTTGTTTAGGACAGTAGCTTCAAATCTAGGGTTGATCAAGGCAGTACTGAAGCTGAAGAGCTATTGTAATAAGCATTACCCAAATTCAGTCTCCTCTTAATGTCCTCCTAAATTAAATTTTGATTTGTTACTGTCATTCCCAAATATTTTAATTATGTCACATTTTCAAAACATCTGTTACCTATCTTTATGTCATGATTTTGCCCTGCATTCTGGTGATGAGACAGCAACATATACTTAGTCTTCTCTGTGTTTACTTCTAGACCAACCTCCTTACTAGCATCAATTAAAGTTTTTTTTTATGGTATCTATGTTATCAGTACAGACCAACAGCTGAAATGTCCCATTTAATTGAGCCCGACATTGTTTTCCTGGACCTTCCTAATGGCATATTCTAAACCAAAGTTGAAANTGAGCCCGACATTGTTTTCCTGGACCTTCCTAATGGCATACTCTAAACCAAAGTTGAAAACCAGTGGCGATAAAGCATTTCCTTATTTTTTACCATTTTGGATATGAAAAGACAAAATTAGTATGACTTAAAGCAAGAGAAAGAACAAGAACGTTCGAGGCATATACCACTGAATAAATAAATTTCAGAAGGGTAATCAACCTAGAACAAACGTTGTAAACGATGAGAAGGATGATCTGCTTCCATATTCCCACATTTTGAATATGCGGAAGAATTACTTCTTTCTGCTATAGAATGTGCATTTAGTTAGTGATGTTAGGCATATGGTAATTAATACAGCTGAAATGAAATCTGACTTCTCAAGATGGACCCAGCTTTACGGGGTTGGTTAGTTACGTACATGCGACACGGAAACAAAAAGAAAGCTTGAAACACCATACTCACTTTTCAATATAGGCTTCTGCGCAACACAATAACACTTCGTTATAGTTACATACTTGGAAGGAATAAGTGTTTTCCAGAAATCCTTAACCTCCATCACTGCAGTAACTTATCACAAAACTTGAGCCACGAATACTTTCATTTTCGACGTTTACAAAGTGGCGCCATTTCTCCCGCAAGCAACATGGCCACAGATCAGCTGTTACATACCTGTCGTGGAATACTAAGTGTACATGGGTCGGTGGCATCAGTGGTAAAATCGGTTTAATTATCCACAGTGACATCAAGTATCACGCTGCCATCTAGCGCCAGATCTAGTTGAACTATGACGAGTTCGGTCTTTTGCGGTCTTTTGGGAAATAACGTTGTGTATCCCGGCGAAATCAACCACCGTTTCGGAAAAACATGGAAATCGCTTCCATGTTAAGGGTCGAACAAACTATACAATAAAAAATAATAAACTAGCATGCAGCACGAAGCAAGCATAGCAAATTGCGCGCATGAAAACGCAGATTATATTAAAGTCACATTGTGACCTGCGGTCAGCCAGACATTTTGTCTTGATGTTGAGTGTCATTGGCTCATGACCAGATACTAAACTTTATCAACCATAATACATGGTAATATTTTCGACATGCATATATAGTATATGCGATGCCTCTATCAGTCCATGCTTAGTACAGTAGGCTATGATAAATTTTATGTCACTTATGCTGCCATGGCAGCTTAGTCACAAGAAGCTTCACTGCCGCCAAGTTTAAGCCCATTATACTATGTCTGGCTTCACCTTGTCCAAAGTTGCGAACATTTCCAATTCTTGATTTTGTGCGGCTTCAACATGTTACCTGTATAATTTTGTTACATTATTATATAGTAGTTTGCATGCCATATATAAATTGTGAGCCAGCATGCACCTTGGAAAATTGTCAGCCGTGCTGAAAACTCTGCTTTGTAGCAATTGCAAATCCCCATGTGGTACAAACATTAATTATCGTGACTGATATTATCATAAATTACAAATGTGTTCCATACATCTTCTTTCAGACCATGGACCAAATCAAATTTATGTTGCAGATTTGTGATTGGTTCACATAAATAGTGGTCATAGAAGCTAGTGAAATCATGTTTTTTGAATGACAGGAATGATTTGTGTGTGCTTAATTCAAGGAATGAACCATAGATGCACTTAGAAGTCACTAGTGCATGTTTTTCCACTCTGTGAAACCCCTGCCATGGGGTGCTTCCTGTGAAAATCACGAATGACATGGATCAGCTCCTGTGGCTACTAATCATCCTTTATATCTAGGAGATATGAGTGTTTGACTCTTTCATATGATATGTCAATGATCTATGGGAATTTGGCAGGCAGTAGCACAGTATAATTCATTTGTCCACAATTTCCCACTAACCTTACTTATTATTTATATGTATGTATACATTCTCTTTGCATAAGAATGAGAAATTGCACAGAAAACAATACAGGCAATATGCTTTCAAATGTTTATTTCATGGGAAGCTCTATCTTCTGGGATTAACATCATGTAATCTGGTGAAAGTCAAGTTTGACTTTCACTGGATAGCAATGTGTTGTATCTCAAAAAGACAAAACTCTTCATCACCACTGCTGTGAGAACCTGTAATCGTAGAGTTATTTCATGTTGTGAAGGTGCTAGGGATGACATGGTGATATCTCAATTTTAGTATTTTTTTGAAGTCATTTTGAGCATCTTCAAAATTCTTTAGTGAGGGGTGAGCTGTGATCAGCACATGTGATTCCTTCCTTCCACAACAAAATTAAACTGCAATTTGATAACATCTCCTTTTTTATCAGGGGTTGTTGAAGGCTACCTTTACACAAAAGGCTAGCTTTCTTAGTTGCAAATAGGATAGCCATGAGAAAGGACCAGGTTCTTTTATAAGAACAGAAGTCATTATGTGCATGATTCTGATTGTGTGGCTTCATATTTCGTGCATACTCCAGACCTAGTTTTGAGAGCAAAGCAGTGATAGCAGAACCATCAATTTCAAGGTGGGGATGACAATGAATATGGTCATCTGTGATGAGGTCTTCTTGAGGAATCGGCCATGTAAAGGATGAAAATAATATCCAATGTTTCAAAGACTCTCCCTCTCAATTATCAGGGGTTGATATGATAAGTGATGTAGCTGCATATTGCATTTATTTCTGCAATGCTGTCCCAGCTGTCCCAACATGGACTGCTGTTGGAAAAGTGGGCAGAGTCAAGTGACCAGCAATGTCCCATCCCGGCATCATCTGCTCAGGAAGCAGTGAATGGAACCAGGCAGTCAGTCATCAAAATCCATGTTACTGTCCTTGACATTCTGGAATGATAGCTGTCACTGGCTGTTTGCTGCAACATTCTGCAATGGTCATCCCTTCCTGAAGCATGGTGGTGGGCAGGTAACTTATGAATGGATGTAAAATGAATTCCATATTGCTGTTGAAGTTGTGAAACTGCAGCTGGACCTCAATAGCCTCTTTCCGTAAATGGTCCACATAGCCTGTCATTCTAGACAGTATTATGGTGTCCTTAAAGTTCATCTGATGCTCTACTCTTTGTGTTGCTCTGCCATTGCTGGAGCTTCCATCATATAAGCTTTGCATGTCTGCTGTGTTGTCATTGTCCTTGGGCTGACAATTGATAGTACTTTAACATGGAAGGAACATATCAAACAAATAGCCAGCAAATTGAGCTTGGCTTGTTATGCTATAAGAGTTTTAGTCTCAATATTGTCCCTAGAGAGCTTATTGATGATACATAATGCCTACGTTCATTCTATAATGTCATATGGCATAATATTCTGGGGATATTCAACATATAGTACACAAATATTTAAAATTCAGAAAAGAATAATTAGGGTGATAATGAAAGCAGGAAATAGGGACACTTGTCGGCCTTTATTTAAGAAATTAAACATTCTTCCTTTTTATTCACAGTATATATTTTCAGTATTGGTCTTCATAGTTAAAAACATGGACAAGTATGTAGCAAATTCAGATATTCATAACATTTATACGAGACAAAGATACAAACTACATTATCCAACTTATAAATCAACCAGGGCTCAAAAGGGAGTATCTAACACTGGAATTAGAATATTTAACAAATTAACAAATTACCACATAGAATAAAAATTTTTTCACAAGATTTAAATAAATTCAAATATTCCCTTAAAAATTTTTGCAGGTGGGCTCTTTTTATTCTCTAGATGAGTATTATGAATGGGAAATAAGAGATGATTGTATTAATTACAGATAAATGAATCAACACTAGTTATTTTTAAAACTTCTATTGTAGGATACCTATACTTCTTTAGTTATGATTTTACTGTTATAGACAATGTTAATATGTATTTCATTATGATAATAAGTAGCAGTGCAAGTGTTACATGCATGTTCTATTTAATTATTTAATTGCAGGTGGGCTCTTTTTATTCTTTAGGTGAGTATTATGAATGGAAAACAAGGGATGATTGTGCTAATTACAGATAAATAAAACTACACTAGTCATTTTTAAACTTTTATTGTAAGATGCCCATAACTCTTTGGATATGATTTTGCTCTGTTATTGACAATGTTGATATGTATTTTGTTATGATAATAAGTTGCAGTGCGAGTGTTATATGCATGCTGTGTTTAGTTATAGCATTGTATCAACAGTTGTTGCAGCAATGGTTGTGGATATGTTGTAATATCTTAATGACGTTGTCCTCTGGATTAATTTTATTGTAACTAGGCCTTTGACGTGTTCTATATCTGGTGGCGCCATCGCCAATGTAGATCTGATGAACAAAATAAATTGAATTGAATTGAATTACTGAGTGCAGGAAATTAAAGTGTGTATGAGGTTTTGGTGGTCTCTAACAGAATACTCCAGTTTCTGAATATTGGTCAACTGGGTCAAAAGTTGAAAAGAAGGGACCACACAGACACACTGACATGCACTCAGTCACCATGACATGATAAGACTACATTCTTTCCTTACTCTCACCCTGAAGAGGCAGTAAATTCCTCCAAAATGTTGATGTCATAATGCAGAAGATCTCAATACAAAAGAAAGTTGGTTTAAGATGATCAGATTTACATCTTGCTGAGTGTCATAAAGATTGGCCATCTTTTTCAGAATTTATTAAAGATACAAATGCATACAGACTGTACAGTTTGCCTGGTTAGGCTGTTTTTCCTTTAAAAACCAACACAGAAATATCACTTCATTTATGGCAAAAGCAAAATTATAAAGCAGGAATGTAAGAGACCAATGGACATCTTTGCTTTGCTAAATAACCTTTCACCAAATTAAGTATCCCTAACACTATGCATGACCCAGCCTTATACATACAAAGTAATTCTCAATTTCACTTATAACCAGATGTTTTGTGTGTGTGTGTGTGTGCTGGTGATGCTGCTGAATTACTGCTTTATAGACCAGTATCCTTAATCTTCACAGTTGAGGACACTACCTACATTTGATAATACCTCATTCTGTATTTTATAAATATTTGCCATACCCTGGGGAAAATTGTCTCTTCCAGCTAATACTGAACTACTGTTATCTCAGATAAGGTTCTGCTCCTAAAGTACTGTACTCCAATTCACAAAGTTCACTTTGTGTGCAAACTGATGTGTTTAAAGAAGCCTGGCTTATAATTCTGATGCATATGACATAATGTCTTTAATTCACCACTTAAAATTTCTTATTTCTCACTGTATTTCCTAAGCCTTCATATTTAACATCAGTTCACTGGTTGCAGTAGCCATCAGTTGGCACATCATCTGAAAGGAATTATATTTATTGAAAGATAAGTTAATACACAGAAAGAATTTGGGTAGAGTATGAAGAAAGCAGTCTTCTGGGATTTGGCACCGTGTATATGTGGTGTTAACCGACGGTCAAGCACCGTGTCTCACGGTGTTGTCGCTTGCAGATTTACTTATACTTCTTCAACCCTGAAGATGGGGGCGATACGTTCCTCCGAAACGTCGGTTAACACCACATATACACGGTGCCAAATCCCAGAAGACTGCTTTCTTCATAGTCACCGCCGTGAAAGCCTCAAATCTTACTTGGGTAGAGTATGTTTTGGATTTAGAAGAGAGAGTAATGTGGCGGTGGCAAAGAAAATAATTTGTATTATGCTTGTTTCTAAACTGGGAAATAAAACCATCTGTAGTAACATCTGTGGAATTTTGCTTTTATTAATATTAAACAATCAGAAAGATGTGCATATGACCTTTGTGCATAGCATCTTCCTGGGAGTAAAGCGCGGCCGGCGCGTAAGGCTGACAACCTTACCGCCATCTGTGAGCCGATTGTCTAGATAATGTGGGACCCTCAACGTCTCACAACCCACTGGGCCTCCATAGCCTATTACAGGGATAGCTTTGCCTTTTTTTTTTTTAATATTAAACATAATTTAGTATTCCAGTGTACTGAGACAAATGCTGATAATTTCTGTATCTGGTAAATATTAGAGAAAAAATAAAATTATAACAGTACAGTACAGCCACTCTTAGACTTATCTTCTCTTAACAAACTGAAATGTAAAAGTAAAGGTAAATGCAAATGCACAATTCCACAAAGATATATATGGAGGAGTGCAGGCATAACTCCCCCATTCTCAACCTCAGTACTAGATGCAGTACAGCAGACAGCTTCATGCTCCACCTGCTTTACCCCCAAGGAAAGACCCCCTGGTATCCATTGGATAGGAGGTTAGATGGGCCCCAGAGAAGAGAAAAATCTCTTGCTCTTGTCAGGAATCAAACTTAATTCCTGGACATGCAGCCTATAGCCTAGTCACTACTCTGATTGAACTATCACATCTCCTGTAGTATACAAATTTTAATTATCCAGAAATGCCCTGGTCAACTATGAAGGTGCTTTTAAGTAAATTACTGATACATTTCAAATTTGTGGAAGTATGCTTCATCCCATAATGTTATAATTGTGATCTAGATCATACAGTCAGAAATAACCAAACAATTGCAAAGACTGGATCAGATGTAGATGAAGAGACAGTTGGATGAATAGAAAGATGGATCCATAAAACAGAGAGATTAGGCAGACAGATAGGTACATATACTATATATATATATATATATGTAGATAAATAGATAAATATGTGAAGAGACATATAAACAGACAGACTGGGTGAGAGAGAGTGGGACAGACTGAACTGGTGGAGGGCAGACAGACATATAGCTGATGGATAGACAGATAAGTAGTTAGGTACTTGGATTGGCAGATAGCCAGGAAGGCAGATATGTTACATTCATTCCATAGATACTGGATATTTAGTATGTCTATATAAATAAACAAAATAAGCAAGTCATAGCAGAAAAATAAAAGTTGCATAATACACTTGATTTTTACACAAATCAGAAAATTCTTATCATTATTTCAGTGTAAGTTTAAAAATTCTGTACACAATTGATAAGGTGTCACATAATGTTAACTAATGCCAATTGAAATTGTCTTCTTTTAATGAGAAGTTTTGTAATTCTTACAGGGAGTTTGTTAAACAACTGAATTCTTGTATAATATATACCCAGTCAGTACACTGTAAGATGAGCACTTGGTTTTGTGGATGTAGTTTTAATGATGTATGTGGCTAGTGTTGATTTTATAAACCTCTGAATCTGTCTGAAGTATTGTATAGTTATTGATTATAAATCTCATTAAGGCAAATAAATATTCAGAGGGAAATGTTAGTGTGCAACATCTCTTAAATAAGCTTCAACACGATTCCCTTCTTTAGCACTGCCCAGTATTCTATTATCTTCTTCTGCAAAAGCATTTATGTGTAACTATTAGCTGAATTTCCATATGAGGTGACTGAGTAAAATTATGTAAATGACACTGATAAAAGATTTTGAGATTCTCACAGCTTCTGGGATATAACGTCATGTAGTCTGTTGAAAGTCAACTGATGCTTCAGACAAACATGTTGCCTTCATCTTCAGGGTCTAAGAAAAAGCCAAGCTAGAAATCAGTGTCTGCTTTCACGCTGATTTCTTGCTTGGCTTATTCTTTGCCATCAAAGATGGAGGTGACACGTTCCTCCAAAATTTCGGCCGACTTTCAACAGACTATATAGCATTATATCTCTGATGATAGAACACCTCACTAATAAAAGATTTCTCATTGCAGAGGACATTGAAGTTAATTGTGATGGTATCTGGTCTATGTGACTTCCCACTTTAATTTAATTAAATTTGGAAACCAAGGAAATGGTAGTTCTGGTTTCCTATACAAATTTATCATAATGAAATTTATTCATATCAGTTGAGGGTTTCATATTGCTTACAGATTTTATGAAATTTGTTTCATCAAAATTGAAATTGAGTTCAGTGTCCATAAACAAATTGTTCATAAAAGTAAATATATCGTTTGATAATTTCCACAACCATTTCCATCAGATACGTGGATTATAATACTGGTATAGTAGGAGGTAAGAGCATGTCAGTTAATCAAAATCATGGACAAAACATACTACAATAATAGCTAATAAATGAGTGATTCATTTTAATAACTAAATGTCATCTTTTTACAAAAATATATTGGTTGTGAAACATAGCTAAAATGCAAACCTATGTTATAGAAGGTAAAGTTGTCCCTGTGCTTAATTAACTAAGCACTACACCATGAAGGCATATGGGGGAGTGGATATATAGATCCACATTTTCTTGACCATGGCACTAGCTGGAGGTGAGTGGTTGGCTTCACACTCCTGCCACTTTACCCCTGGGGAAGGAGCCCCTGGTACCCATTGGATAGGAGGCTGGGTGGGCCCCAGAGCCGGTCTGGTCAATATAGAGAAGAGAAAATTCTGACCCAACCCGGACTCGAACTCATACCACTCGATTATCCAGCATGTAGGCAGTCACTATAATGACTGTAGTACCCATGTGTTATAAGGAAGTAGAAAGAGAAGAAAATATTTGTTTTGTGACTTATGCCTCTAGGTGTGGGCTTTTACCCATCATGGTATTACTCTCAGGTGGGAGAGCCCCAAGATGTGCATAGTCCCTGGGTAAACTTGGCCTAAAAATGATTTAGAATGAATGACAGACATGGATATACTTGTACAATACTGTAAAAGTGTCATGTATCATATTCCACAAAATCTGTCAAAGAATTTAATTGATATTCTTCCAGAAAATGTGGGAATTCTACCTTAATCAGGAGAGATGAAAAGTCCATCTAAAAAATTTCAAAGAAGTGATTGTTTTTTGCCTCTGACTAAACTTTTTGTTAAATGTAGTAAATGTAAATGGGAGTTTTTTACAGCATTTTACCACATGCTTTGTAAATATTTGGATAAAAATTACAGTTGCAAGATATTTAATAATCAGATTCACAGTGACATTCTGAGGTATTTAATTTGCTCCTAACTTTCTGGACTATAACTGATATTCTTACGCATAATGATAATTTCAATTTCTTGAAACTTACAAAAATATCTTGTGGTATTAAATTATAGAATAATTGTTAGCATCGTCCAGTGTGATTTAATTTGTAGATATTTATTGCCCTTACATGTTTCAGTCACATCACCATCTTCAGAAGGCATAAGATCAACATATTTAGGACCTACTATTAGAAAGTTCTTGAACATGTTGGTCTTATGCCTTCTGAAGATGGTCACATGATCGAAACATGTAAAGGCAATAAATATCTATAAATTTAGTCACACTGGACGGTGTTAAAAATTATTCTATAATCTATTTTAATAGTGTGACCAACCAGAATGAATTAAGTTTCTTGTGGTATTGTTTGTATACCTCCTCCTGGACTTCTACCTAAACATGGTGGAGAGAAGTGTGCGCTCTGATCTCCCAGAGAGCTATGCCAATGGGGTGGTAAGCTCCAGATAAGGATACCCATGCTAGGCAGGTTAAGGGGTAGGGGATAGATGAAAGGTAGCCCTTGGCCCTCCAGGAGCTACCTCATGAAATAACATGTGTTAGTATACTTAATGACAGATGCTGGATGGAGAAGAATGGGCATTTGTTGCAAAGGAAGCCAAGGTCCTTGAGGACCATAGAGTGAAGGAGTAAGTGTTATTTACATAACTATGAAAATAAACATCACAGAGACTCAACATTACCTTGCAAGCTCTTTCCTTGTTTAGTTCTGGGCTCCTCCTTTCAACAAAATGATTCAGAGGTATTGCTATTGAAATAGGAAGCATACTATAAAACCATAAAGTAACCAACAGCAAAAATACTGTTTTCACCACACTAATCTGTAACAGTAACAAAATATTTCATCATTAATGAAAAGTTATTAACACTTCACTATAAATAAGAAAAGAGGTGAAGATGCTTAACCTTTTAAAGTATGAAGCTTTCTAAGTAAAACAGGTGGTCATACCAGGCTGAAGACCTGGTGGGTCAGTTTCATGCAAATGTCATACCCAGGACCAGAGCCATTCTTTCTAGCTTGGGTTTCAAAATAAATATCCCTGTTAATTTGCAGTAAGTATGCAAGTTATAATGTAACCTTTGGAAGGTGCAGCAGCCCTGCAGCCCTGGCAAATCTGGCTTATGCAGGGAAGAACTGCAAGGCTCATTCTCAGATTAAGCATTATTTTAAATGATGTGCATACAAAGGAGTAGGCTCGGGCTATGGTTCCATCTGCACTAGACTAGGAAAGCCCCAGAAGAATCATCTAAATTCTGAAGTCAGTCTGTACTTCAAAGAAATCTCACTGTGTCCCTATACTAAAATTTATTAATGCTGTTTGGTGAAATGTTTTCTGGCTATTGTAAGAATCATACATGAGTCATAAATAGACTTTAGGCAAAATACAGATCTATTTTTATGTTAAAATAGGTGGTACATACAGTCTCTACTGTTTTTTTAAAATATTAAGGATATCATGTTTATTATGTTTATTGTATTCACAACTTTTCTTTATTAATGTTGATCTTATGATGAAGAACTTTGCTAGCAAGTTATGTTAGCTGTTTGAATGCATGTTTATTCATATTGTAGTTATTCATCTTTGCTCCTTGTATTACATATCTGAGCTCTGTTACTGTTCTGCATAGTACATATTTTATGTTTTATATGGCACTTATATGTCCATAAAGAAAGAGTATTTGCCTTATCATATGTGTATTAGGGTAACAATTGTGCACACATATTTATATGCAATTATAAATTTGAAAGTTAAAACTCCACAAAGAATGTACATTGCTTTTGTTGTTACAGTGGTTTATTATAGACTTGTACTGTTGCTATTATTTGATGTAACCAGAACACAGTGTAATCACCTAAAAGTGCCATTATAAGTGTCATACATCCATTTTAGATAAACAGCTTTATGAACTAAAAGAACCCATGTAAATTAAACTAATTAAGAAACGTGTTCTATAACCGGAGGTGCCATCGCCAAATGTAGATCTGATGAACAAAAATAAATTGAAATTGTAATTGAAAATAAGTCCCAAAGTTAATATTGATTATTCAGTGCCAAAGACTGCTAGGTAAAGATAGGGATTTATTTTTTAATACACTCCAGAATGAACTGTCACACTAGTAATGTGATCCTGTGAATACTACTACATACTGACCTATTAATTATCAGCACTGAGAGATACACAGTACTTGTTTCACATTCTTTCAAATAAATATCAAAAGAGTCAGCTGATGATGCTGACAGCTAAAACAAATGAGATGTCTCTAGGGTTTCCTTTTGGTGAAACACAATGGTGTATTAAACTGATGCTTCTTTCCTTAAGAACAAAAATAAAATGTCAACGACTTCTTAATTAAACTTAGGATATAATGGAAACTGAAATAAATATACTTCTTTGTATAACCTCTGTTGGCCATGCACTGCATTACTGTAATTATGCACAAGTGTGTGAACCAGACAGCCAAGCATTTTATCTTCTTAATACTAACTGTTACTCCTTAAATAAAATATTGCTACCAGCCCTGCAGTATGAAAGGAAATAAAATGTACTGTTCTGTTTCCAGGGGTTGCATAAGCCCATGTAACCCCCCCCCCCTTTTCAAAAACAAAATGACTCTCTCAAAACTCCATTACAATTAATAACAAAACTTCTAGGCACTGTGATGGAAACCATCATTGATAATTTAACCCTTAAAATGGCTGTTTTTACATTGTTGAATAACGTGTTTCGATGAGGGGCAATTAATGGTCATGGTAAGAACAAAGGAGAAGCTGGAATTATTTTTGTTCAACAAAAATCCGAAAGTAGGATTGTGGAATGTGTCACCCCAGCTGGCCTCTTGGTTCCCCTGTGCTATTGTACTAGCCCTAAATGAGTAATTTCCTCTCTTCATGTTCTGCAGTGTGCCACAGGAAGAAGGGGGTTACAAGATACATTTTTAAAAAATTAATTTTCAAAAACTCAGTTGTAGTTGCCACTTCGGAACTTCTGTGGTAATAATATTTGCATTTTGTTAACTTCATGAAGATCTGATGATTCAATCATTCTATTTTTTAATAGAGATTACATGAGCAAATGTTCATCTTCTCTTCCCCTGTCATCATAGTACAGATTTTTCGCAGTGAAACTCTTCCATTAGTATGTGTGTGTGTTCTTGCTTGTACTCAGGATGATCAGTCTGAAGTGTGCCAGATGAACACTACCCTGTTTACAAGTAAGATATCACACAAAGTAAACTGAACTGAATTCACAACATCCCCCAGCTTTTAAATGTAACTGAATACAGTACAAAATTATTCAACCTGCTTACCTGGTGCCAGCTAAGTTTGTCTTGAGGGATGGGTATTGTGCCACCTTCAGCATCATTCCAAGTTGAATCGACAGTATTTGTTGTGAGCAGCAGCATGAGGAATGTTAGTTTTATGAGAAGCTTGTACAAAGCTACCATAATGTGTCCTGGCCTGTAATGTTTTGCAAATTATAGCATATATTCTGAATAACATATGTATATATACATATATTTTTAAATTTGCTTAGTGGGCGGTGGAGTCCAACTGGGTCCACTCGGCACTTCGGCCATTGATTGGCTTATTGTAGTCTGCCCCGGGTGATTATGATGATGGAGAATTTGGTGGAATGAAGATTGGCAGGGGAAACTGAAGTACTCGGAGAAAACCCGCCCCAGCACCACCTGGGCTGCCACGGTGGGATGCCAGTGACTAACCACTTGAGCTATGGCGCGGCCTTACATATGTATATGGTTGAATGGATATATGAATTCCTGCATATCATGTTAACATGGAAAGACTCCAGTCTTACTGCATACTAGCTGGACATATTAAGATAATTATGGACTATACTTAAATTATTTTATTGTGATTTTTAGCACATCAAAAGAGTTACAAAAATTTGTTCACTGTATTCTGTAACCTTCTGGTGCCTGTAATAACCATTTATAAGCCATATAATCAGGTATAATAGGGTTTTCAGAAAAAGTACAGAATGAAGAGCTTCATAGTTCATAACCTTCACCAAATATTATAAGGATGATCAAATCAGAGAGGGTGAGGTGGGTAGGACATGTAAAATGTAAGAGGATGTTGAGCTGTGTATACAAATATCTCATCTATCTGATAATAAATTGTTTCTTTAAAAAAATTTGCTTTTAAATGTATTATCAAGATCTGCATAAATGTGGCAGTAGAAGTGTACTGTATGGGTATGAGTGATATGAAATTCAAATCAAAACTGGTTTATTAATGTACAACATCTCCTAGCAAATTTATTTTTCTTGTAACATACTCAGAATTACAGGCTATAGTAATATAACTGTTTCAAATTTAGGATTATTTTTTCTTCTGTCCAAAAATATTTTTGTTTCTTTACAATCATTCATCAGAATCAATTATTTCTCTGCAAGAATGCCTCAAGCTGCTATTCCAACACTGCAGCAGACACTAAGGAAGCACAGAAATCACACAATACAGCAATCTTCATGAAACATTTTTACATCTTCTCAGAAATATGGGCATATCAACCTTTGGTCACTAAGAGGCACCATGCCTGTAAGGAAAAATGGTCTCTGATTGTCTTTTGTAATTTCACAAATGAAGCCTTAATTAAAATTTCTTTGTCAATGATTTTATACTTCATATTGAGTTGATTATCACAAACCATTTGAGTATTGCTAATTTGACTGCTGTAAGAGTCATGATGTTGGGAACAATATTCTTGCCACATCTTAAACAATGTATCACTACTCAACTGATAACATTCCTTCGTCTTTTACTGGAGCAAGTATATAAAATATTTATCATCCACTTCATTGTTTCTTAACTGTTAAGAAACTTGGTCCCTTTTACAATAATTGGTGCCATGCTCCAAATATGCTCTGTGTTGGATAACACTGGGACAGTTGTTATGTTTTCATATGTGCTAACTTCTGGCATATTTCCTTCACAGCATAATCTTATGGTTCATACTTACATGCAACACACAAAGTAACAAATTTTCAGTATCTCAGACACACAATTACCAAAAAAATTTCTTGCAAAACAAATGCCGTTCTGTCTGCAGAGAGATGTAATTCCAAATGCCTCTGACCTGTGAAAATAACAAATGTAAATGAATGTTGAATTATTCAACAGATCAGCTCAACAGATCAGAGCTTACTCATAACAACTTTTTGTACTCTCTGTCATAAATTATTCATTCTGAAAAGTATTGTTCTTGTGTTGTAGTTTGAAACTAGACGTCTAGTAAGTCCAGTCTGTTTCTACATGTTAAGTCTTTTTACCAAAGTTGTTGTACAAATGAATTCATAATTCCTACTGGAAACTGGTCATCCAAATTCTTAAGTTTTAATATTACATCCTTCAATGCTTGCATATCAATCTTTATCAATTTAAAATTTCTGCATTCGATTCTTTATATTATAATTATACCGAGATTAACAGCTCAATACTTGAACTATACAAAGAAAAAGTGAATATTCTATTATTAAAATTTATTATTACCTAAAATTCCTGCAAAAGCCTTTCAGCTCTTTTTAGAAAAATAATCTTTCATATATATTAATGCCACTTCTGTCAAAAATGGAATATTATACTTCAAAGTTTCATGCCACATTCTGCTACACATTGAAATTGTATTTGTTGGAACATCATTTTGCTGTTAGTACAGTACACACAACAAAATACTTGCAATGTGAAAATACACAGTATTATGTAAAACATATAATTTATGCACATAAACATTACAAGAAACCACAGAATCTTAATTACTAAATTCTGTTAACCTCCTTATTTATTTTACACAATTTTGAAAATACTGTTCATTCATATGAATGGAGAGGTGTTGTCTAATCCCCATTTTCTCTCACTTTGTTGTTTTTACATACACTGACAAAATGTGCGTCTGATTAGACAGTGACATTGCTTAAAACTATACTGAGTTTTAATTGGTGAACATAATTTTAAAGTGAATATAATAATCATCCTTTTCACACATTCATTTCTCGTGCTTCATTATGTGGTTCCCAACCATCCATCCATGAAGTATTAACCGCCAGATCCATAATACAAGTGTATCCTACATCCTTACAACAACAGGATTTCGTTAGGCAACTAATTTGTAAAGTTCAGAGTGAAACATTCAATTGTGCATACAGAGCAATTATTCTTATGCATTAATATCCTGCAACATTATCTCAAATTGGTTAGAAATTGGACCATATGGTAGCTGTGTGAGAAGCTGCATGTCTTTGTACATTTTCTGAGTTTGGAGAGTGAGCGGTTGCAAAGTGCAGAGACTTTTTCTTTATCATTTGGAAGGAAGTATCACCATTCAAGTAGGCAGTTGCTACAAAATCTTTATGAAACACACATGTTAGGTGTCCTTCTAAGAACTCAGCATACAGGATGCAAGATATCACAGACTAAACAGCTGGACCATTGATTTTTAATCAGTACATAACCAACAATTGTCATATTTGATTTTCTTATTTTTGTTATGTATATCTTAAGGATGCTTACACTTAAAACAGTTTACAAACCTTTAAATAATTCAAATTAATATAGTTTTGGAGTAAAAAAGACAGGTGAGGCATACAAAGACGATTTCAGAATTGTTTACTTCAGTAAAAAATGTGTTTTTGCATACTAATGTTATGTACAAAATACTGGTCTTTCTACACACCATACTATTTCAATGAAATGCCAGGATTATACAAATTTTCTATATTAACACAGTATAATCACAAGGCTATTCAAGTATAAATATATTAATAGTAGTAATAATAGTTAGCTAATAGCTAGTAATAAATTACAATTATTTCTGTCTGAAGCTCAGTATTATCAGTAAAGGTCAAAACCACACTACAAAACTTTGTGTATGAGCATTACTTTCATGAGCTGGTCAAAAATCATACCAATTTTATTTGGAAATATTCAGTAGCTGTTAAATGGAGTGTGTAGGAACCTCATTATTTCCTCTTCTACACAATAAGTTATTCAGTTCACTATCACTTAACTTCTAAATTAGCACTTCCAAATACACTATGTGCAATACTGGGATAAATTGTAAAACAAAACTGTCTGAAGGAAAACATTGAGACAAGACACACTCCACAGTTATTTTATATTTCACATGTTTAAATATTCTTTGACTATAATTATATGCAATTATGTTTTAACACATGTGTTACTTCATAATTTAATTAATGGTTGTTTAATCTATTTTGTTTTTATTTAAAGTGTAATGTCATATCATCAGAATTTATTACATCCTTAACATACTGTGGTAACTCTAAAAATGTTACAGCTAAATAGACGTACAAATAACTCCATTCATTCTTATATTTATTTGTTTATTCATTCATTCATCTATTTGTCCAAATTAATTTGTTTATATCCCATACTCATTCATCAAATCATTCACCATTCAGCAGTTATATAAAATTGTGAAAGCTAAAGCCCACAGAAAAATTTAACCACACCATTCATTCATATTCCCCACACATGAGTTTAGATACCTGAAATTTCCCATAATATTACAAACTTGCAAAACTAGATATTTTATGTGAGTAGGTAGTACTACAGTTTTAAGGGAAGCAGTAATTGAAATGCTAAATTGGGAGGGAATTGTATGAAGACTGACAACATTAATGGGTCAGAACAGACTTATCTTCATTTAAAAAATATGCCATATTTTGTCTGGCCAATAAAATAATTTTCCTCATGTCATGCTCAATTACTATACAGTTTTAAACTATGCTTAAGAATAAATATCATACAACCACTTAAATTTGAAAGTATACAACTCTTAATTTGGCAGAATTGAGTTTGAGTGCTCACTGTTATATAATTTTTCATTTAACAAACATAACAGCATGATCATCATTTGGAAACACTGGCAAATTCAAGTTCAAATGGCAGAGACATGGTAGGAAAGGCACTGACAACACAGTTGGAAATATAACTTCCAAAGAGCATCAGAATGGAAAACAACTTGTCTGTACAGTGGAAGGCAATTCATCACTGCTAGATTCCACTTCCTGAAGGGAGGAGTCTTCAGTATTTTCATCAAGTTCACTCTGATCAGTGCCAGTTACAGTTGCTTCATTGCGAGTTATATTAGTGCAGATTACAGAGTCACTATTGTCAGATGAAATATGATCATCATAAGGCAGGTCATAACTATGAGATCTGGATGATTGGGTTTGTAAATCTTCTTCAGAAGGCATTTGGGTGACAGATTCAACATGGATGACAGCTGTGTCTTGATCTTCGAATGATGATTGAATACTAATAGCAGCATGCTTTGCAAGTGTCATATCAGTACTGGTAGCAATGTGACTGAAAGGTTCATCAGTGCTAGTTGCTACACTCCTGCTGCGAGGACGTTCAGTGCTTGTTGCAACATTTTCACTTTTTGGCTCTTCGGTGCTAGTTGCCACATGCTCCTTTTTGGGCCGTTTAGTGCTAGTTGCAACATGCTCTCTTCTTGGTTGTTCAGTGCTAGTACCAACGTTTTCACTCTTAGGTTGTTCTGTGACAGTAGCTACACTTTCACTTTTAGGTTTTTCAGTGCTAGTTGCAGTATTCTCTCTGTGTGGTTGCTTTGGGTTATCATTAACATGGTTGCCACACAGTACTTTTTCAAGAACAGTTTCTTCGTGAGGTATACTAGGAGTATGATCTCTGCATGTGTCAAATGGTTTGCTAGTTGGCAAGTTGCTATTGTTTTGGGCATGTTCAATGTTAACTTTATGTTCAATGTTTTGCAATGTTTCAGGTTCAACATGTTTAGTGATAACTGTGGTATGTTCAATAATTGACATATCAGTATCACTTTCAAGATTGTTACTACATGGCACATCAACATCAGGTCCAGAATGTTCATTGTCATGTACATTTTTTTGCAAATCATGATAAGTTATTGGTTTGTCATCACATGATATAGCTTCCTCAATGCAAACTTTGCCACTTCCGCAATAGTCTTCCAGAAATGAGCTGTCACTTTTTGTGATCTGTCTACCATTAATAAAATCACTGCTACTAGCAGAGAACTCACTAGAAATTTGACCATTGAGGTTAGTGCAAAACAGACCGTCGCTCTGTATGTCAAGCAGTTCATCACTTAACGCCATCTCACTAAAAGCCATTTCTGTTTTGGCAGGGATGAGTTCACTGCAAGACAGACCTTTACTAATTACGATCCGAGATGTTATGCTTTCTCTTTCATTATTATGACATGTGTCATTGCCGGTTGCAACCTCACTATGTAACTGACTGAGGCTCTTCCCATTATCACCAATACATGTGCTTGGGATATATGTGTGTTTGGATGAAATCAATGGATTGCCAGACAAGCCAGCAGACCCTGAAGCTTGCTCATCATATGACCACTGTTTCTTAATTGCACGTGTTGTGACAACTTTAGAATAATGTTTCCGCCTGAAAGAAATTTTCTGAGTTTCATCTAAAATCATCCATTCTTTGCTATTTGGAATAACTTTTCCTGACTGGGAGGGATGGTCAGCCAAAGATGTGACACTCAGGGAAGCAGGTGTTCTGTGTTCACTTCCTACTATTTTGAAGTCTTGATGTCGTGGATGACTGTCCCGAGGTTGACCATATTTTACAGCTACAATCTCATCTGAATAAGAAGGAGACAATTCATTACAAATTGCAGCTACTTTTGATAAAGGTTTTTCTTGTGACGGTGGCCTAGCAGTATCTTCTGGACCACGTGATCGATCACGGTCAGCACAAGGTGAAAGGAGCTCGCAAGAACAACAATTCCATCTGTAGCGATGTGCAGCAGACTTCCTAGAACATCGGGCCTTTTCATGGCCAGATTGTTCTGCTGTGTCACCTGAATGAGATAGGTCTTCAGGTGTTTGAGGCAAAGCAGACCCACGGCCAAATTCAATATACCACTGTGTTTCCTGCTCACTTTCTCACTTTTTCTCTTTCATGTCCTTATTGAGGTAATGGAGAACGTAGTGGAGCACCAAGTCATAGCAGTATTTGTATTCTGTCTGCACAACAAATAACAATAAAATATTAATCAGCTGTACAGGAATCACCTTTGGAAAATTACTAATTTGTTGTAAAACATTAGCAGTGAAAAAGTGTTAAAATATCACACATGAATCTAATTAACAGAATGTTCCCTTATACCTACCCCTATTGATGTAATCAGCGTTTGAAAAAATCTAAGAACAAGACCATTAGAACACAGCAACTAAATAGGATTGGCATTTGCTTGAACATACATAGGTACTAAACAAAGACATTTCAGCTAGTAATATGAGTGACTGTGGAATGGATGGCTGGGGCATGAGTCCTGGCAGGGGCAGAAACTCTCTGAATCATGAAGTCCTAACTGACTCTGGGGATTTCTATCACAGAGTTGCCATAGACTCTTACTACTTACGCAAAACATCCATAATGTGAACCTAACCCCTCAGCCCCATTTTATGCTGAGATTTAGAATGTGTCTCAGTACATTTTCAGGACCTCTACATGCCCTCATAACTTCGTGTCTAGGCACAGAAGAAATTTTACCATGCCTTTCCTTATACTAATACATACAAATATGTAATCTATAATTCATCTTCACTCACTCCTGAAAGAAATCAGAATTCTTTTCTGGGCTGGAGATATTGAGTAGTGATTTTCCAAATCCTGTATAAGTTTAGGGGACAAGAAAAATAGAGTATATAAACAGTGAAATTTTTAGATCAAGAAATAAACAGTTTTTTCTTAAATAATAAGTAACATTAAATTACATTTCCTGAGTGACACAAACAGCTGAAGAAGTAAAGAATATTTCCTGTTGTTTACATCAGTGTTGTTAAATTGTGGGATTAACATGTTAAGTCATAACACTTTAAAAATTATGTGTATTTCCTTCATTTTCAAAACTGATTATATTATGTATCCTTAATCTATCAAAAGAGATAAGATCTTACAGAAAATTTGTTACATTATGAAAAATTAAAAAAGAATTTAATTTTAATACTATAAATATGAGAACATTCTGTGTTAATTTTACTTGATACTGGAGGTGATTATGCACACGACACTCTTATGTACAGTAACGCACATGTGATGCATGAAAATTAATACCAAGGAAAAACATCATTTTGAGAAAAATGTCTATGATGTGCTAAATATCACAGTTGATGGCTGCATAATCCAGAGGCAGGTTGTTCTGACTAAGGGGTTCTATAACTTTACTCTGTTCTTCTATGTGGCTTTATTCTATTATTTTATGCATCTGCTTGGATAGTACCTTAATCCACTGTGCATCTCAAGTCAATTAGACAGGCTTGGCACACCTGTGTTAAAACTTCTACAGATGGAGAGATTGGCTTGATGTTTATCACCTTGTACAGCATTTCTATCAATGTGTGTTACACCAATTTTTAGAGGAAAGATTAGGTTTCAAGCCACTGTGGGATTGTCGATGTTCTAAATGACAACCATGTAGAACTGTAACAATTGTATATATTAAATTGTATAAATTGAATATACAGAATAGCTGTGAAGCTATGTGGAATGTTCAAAAGTTGGCTGGCCCTCAAAAGGGCAGTTTGTTCCGCCGCGAATGCGCTGGCAGAATTTGCTCCTTCGTAGTAGACCAAGTCTTACGGCCGTTCAGCCGGCCTGTCTGGCCAGTGATGTAGTGCTGTGTGTGCCGGTAGAAACAGCTGCCTACGGTGCAATTGCTGGAGTTGCGGAAGTTGCGTTAGTTGCCGAAGCTGCGTTAGTTGCCTGGTCGCAGAGCATGGGCGCTGGAGACTTGCGGCAACTACGTCAGTTGCCTGGTCACAGAGCGTGGTTGCTTGAAAGTTGTGGCAGCTGTCTTGGCGCACTGAAGAGCTGATGACTCTGATGACTGATTGCTCTGGACTGAATGTGATCACTGACTATTGCTAAGTCAAAGTAATGTTGCAACTGATGGTCACTCAGTCTGTCTGACTTGGTGTCGAGCCCCAGCTGGGGCTCATGACCAGATGTTTCCTTCTTTGTGAAAGTTGCTGTCCTGTCCATTTGGGGAGCCCTCTCTGACGAGAGGTCAGGTCTGTCATTTGTCAGTCTTAGTCAGTCCATTGTCAGTATTGACATATCTTTACAATTTAATTCTAGTCTTAATTACTATTTCTATGTACAATATATACAAGGCCTCTGTCAATCCAGGTATTTTACAGCAGATTATGCCCTATTTCTAGTATTATTTGCTACCACGGCAGTCTAGACACTTGAACGGTCGTATGCCTGACTGCCACCAAGTTTAAGCCTCTTATACTTCCTATGTTGGGCTTCACCTTGACCAATAATGTGAACATTCTCATTTTCATGATTTTGTATGACTTCTGCTTGTTGCCTGCATAATTTTGCTATGTAATCATATACGTATGGAATTCTGAATTACATGTGCAATTTGCGGACAGGTGTGCACCTTGGAAAATTGCCAATGGTGCGGAGAACCTCGTTTTGCAGGCACTGCAATTTCACTAGATGGGTGTCTGCCGCAAACTCCAAGGCGGGACTAGCATAAGTCATTACAGATCTAATAAGAGCTTTGTGGAGGGTCAATTTAATGTTAGCGTTCAATCGCTCACTTTTGAATAGGGAATATACTCCAACGAATGTTCTGAAGGCCTTGGCTTCAATCATTTCTGTGTAATCTCCATATAACTCTCTTATTGAAGATTACACCTAGATATTTTGCACTATTTACAAATGGAATATTTCGTCCATTAAGAGTAAGACAAGATTCAGACGGTCGATACCCATGAGAGAAGTAGACCCCCTGAGTCTTATCTTCATTAATTTTTATATTCCAGCGCTCACACCAGGTCTCCATTGAGCTGAGACCGTGCTGGAGTTTTCGAACAATAAAACCCTCCTGACGATCTGTCGCATATAGACAGGTGAACACCACGAGTTTGGGGGGCATCATTTATATACAAGTTGAAAAGAGTAGGGGAAAGGACAGAACCTTGTGGCACCCCTGCTTGAATTTCCCTTGGCGTTGACATTTCGCCTTCAACCGAGACCCTGAATGTACGCTGAGAAAGAAAGGACCCAATAAGCTTGGTCAAACAGTTAGAGAATTCCAGGTCTGATAACTTATACAGCAAGCCTGAGTGCCACGTGGTATCAAAGGCTTTTTTGATGTCCAAGAACACTGCAGCCGTAGACATTTTATTGTTGAAATTAAGGGTCACATGGTCCACCAGCCTCATACATTGCAATGTCGTGCTGTGATGTGCATGAAAACCAAACTGGCTTGCATTGAGCAGGCCTCTTTCTTCAATATGTTTATGGAGGAATTTCAAAATTACTTTTTTGAATAGTTTTCCTGTTGTGGACAGGAGGCTGATCAGACATAAATTTTGAGGACATTTCGGGTCTTTACTGGGTTTAAGTAAAGTTATTATTTTTGCTTCCTTCCAAGTATTTGAAAAATGAGAGAGCCAAAAACAATGAGTGAATAAATGAGTTAGGTGAACCAATGGTCACCTTGGAAGGTGCCTGAGGCTTTCATATGAGATGCCGTCAATTGCACAGGCCTTTTTTAATTTCAGGGATTTTATTAATTTCTGAACATCACATGGTATGATTCTTTGAGGGGGGTTGTCGTCTACAGTTTCCAGCAGAGCTTGAACTCTAGCNGATCAGATGTAAATTTTGAGGACATTTCGGGTCTTTATTGGGTTTAAGTAAAGTTATTATTTTTGCTTCCTTCCAAGTATTTGAAAAATGAGAGAGCCAAAAACAATGAGTGAATAAATGAGTTAGGTGAACCAATGGTCGCCTTGGAAGGTGCCTGAGGCTTTCATATGAGATGCCGTCAATTGCACAGGCCTTTTTTAATTTCAGGGATTTTATTAATTTCTGAACATCACATGGTATGATTCTTTGAGGGGGGTTGTCGTCTACAGTTTCCAGCAGAGCTTGAACTCTAGCCTACACCCGCTGTTCATGGTTTTCATCTCCCAGGTCATGTGGCGTGAACTGAATTTCCAAACAGTTGGCAATTTCGTTGGCTTTTTCAGAAGGATAAAATGTAAGGCCAGAAGAACCATGAATAGCAGTTGGTGCCCTTGGTCTGTCTCTCTTAAGGAGAGATTTCTCAATGAGCTATATAATCTGAGGTGTGACTTCAGTGTTATCTATTTTTGTTTCCCACCGTTCAAGTGCCTTTTTACAGGTCATTCACCTGATTGATTTGGTGACCTAATTGACAGCCGTTTTACATGCTGGATCCCTGGTTTCTTGCCACAGTTTTCGTAGCCTCTGCTTATATTTTAACAAATGATCTAGACCAGGAAGATCGTTGTTTATGTCCAAAAGTGTAACTTTATTTGTCGACAACCTATATGCCGAAGCAATAGAGACTGCAAAGTCGCGTGCCACTTTATCAGCTTCTACCCCCGACTTAATTTCTAGTTTAGGTGATATTAATTCTGAAGCGAGGCTTTGAAACCGCTCCCAATCTGTAAATTTTTCAATGGCTTCTGAAAGATTCCTAATTTTGACGTGATCCAGTATGTGGAATACTATTGGTAGGTGATCTGAGTCCAAAATATCAGAGACAATGACATCTGACTCTCTGATATTTTTCTGAAGCACAATGTCTAACAGGTCACAATTTCCTGCAGGGGAATAATGAGCGTGGCACTGTGGTGCTGAGATTTCAAAATCACTCTTATCAAATAAATCAATGAGTTTCAAGCCTGAAGGGTTTGAAACTCTGCTATTCCAAAATGGGTGCTTAGCATTCAAATCACCTGCCAAAATAGTCTTACATCTAAAGCTTAAGAGCTAATTGATGTCAGTATCACTCCAGGCTCTGCCTGGAGATTTATAAACAGCTGTAAGCAGTACTTCACTATTACACTATTACTATGCAGACCTGTGTCACTTCTACTGAAACAAGGGGTGGTAGGTCTACATGGTTATGGGGAATGCCTTTTCTAACTGCAACGGCAGTTCTGCCTTTTCTGCCCGAGTGGTGTTCGATTCTATAAAAGTGGTAATTTGGGATAAAGAACCTCTCATGAGGTTTCAGATGTGTCTCTGAAAACAGGGCCACATCTACGTATAGGTCTTGCAGCTGTTTACTGAGCTCATAGCACTGCCTCCCAATGCCGTTCGCATTAAATGCTACGACTTTGAGGGGCCTATGAACGCTAGTGGCCATTTTGTTTCATTAGATTTAGAACAATTTTAGTAATGGCCATTAATTTTTCTTCCTCGGACACTGCACCACTGACCTCTGTCATAATCTGCTGTACTACAGTCACTACTCTCAACATATTGTCGAGAGATGGACTGTTTACATGAGTAGCCTGAGCTGACTGATCTGTTTTTTGTTCCTGTACAAGGACTGGGATGCTCGGTTTCGTGGCTTCTGGTGGAACTGCCACTGGAACTTGGCGAGGTCGCTACTCCTGCAATATGCTGCCTCGGAGCGCTGCCGCAAAGGAAACCCCAGGGGTAACGATTTTTGAGGAGAACACTCTTCCCGTTGTGGTTTTGGGTGCCCTCTGCGAGTTCTTCCTCTGCAGCTCCTCCTTCGCGTGTCTGCAGCCCCGATAGTTGGTGGGATGGAGCTTCTCTCCCTCCTTCAATTGGCAATTGCACCAAGCTGGAGTGGAGGCAGCGTTCTCTTTCTCTGGACACTCTTTGTGCAGGTGGCCACCCCCACACCACATGCAATGGGGAGGTTGTTTGCAATTGGCCCAGATGTGGCCAAACTGTTGGCAGTTTTGACACTGCGTAAGGCCACTCTGTGCTCTATATGCCTCAACCCGGATGGAAATGTGGCAAAGGCTTTGTATTTTGAAAATTTCTTGTGATTTTGCCATCCAGGATAGGGTGATAAGGAAGAGTGGAAGGTTTCTTGATATCCTTTCTTCTGAAGGTGACCCGCGGGTGATTGTCATCTATTTGACGCTAACCACATCATATCCCAGGGTCACCAGTCCATCAGATATATCCTCCGCAGGTGTATTGTGAGGAAGGCGACGGATTACAGCCTTTATGGGTTTTAGGGACTTTGGAAAGAAGGTATAGTAGGAAAGTTTGTTGTTTGATAGATGGGACTTGATGGCTTTGAAATCCGCCATGCTTTTGGTGAGGACATTGGTCCCATTTCTGGTAATGTGGAACCCAAAGTCGCCTTTGACCACATTTTTCAGTTGCTTTTGCAACTGAATTAGGTTGACTGTGGACATTAGAATTATTGGGGGGGGGCTGCCTGTTTTACCTGAGGTTTCCTCCTCCAGCATAGTGGTTCCGGCAGCAGCAGAGTCGGTGTCCATTGATGTCACCTTGAGAGGTACAAAGTAGTTGCGGGTGGGAACCTCATTCGCCAGGGTGTTTCCTGCGGCAGCCGCTGCCTTCTTTGAAGTCAGGGCAGACTCTGCTGTGTTTTGCTGTTTCTGCCTTCGGACTTCTTTGAAGTCTTCTTCTTGGGAGGGGTTTGTAGGAAGAGTTTTCATTGTCTCTGAGGTTCTGGCCTTCACTAGGGACTTCAGATTGTTCAGTATAACTGTATAGATCCCATACAGAACACTGAACAATATCTTGCCTGTGAGAGCCTTGCAATAGCTGTCTCTGTTTTCGTCAGCATCATTGACTATTGCCGCCCACTCAGCACTTTCCCCAATTGTAGCGGGTGTGAAGTTAGCCACATCCTCAATATCACAAATGATTTTAAACAGCTTCCTGTAGTGCTGATCTGCTTCGGGATATTGTTTTACCATCTCCTTGTATTCTGCCTGTAGTGAGGCTCATCTTTCTGCCCAGAATGCATGGTACCCAGGCACTGAGGCGCCCGCCATGTCTAGCACGGCACGGCATGAACCCAAGCCTCACGCGAAACTAAGAATTTTACTACCAAAGACTGCGGAATTTCAGAAGCTGATCAGAAAGAGCACATAACAACTACCAGCAATAACTCCTTTATCAATCATCTATGAGAAAATTTTTTCCAAACTTCTCACAACACAAACCAAGTGCACACCTAACACCAACACGCTGCTCAAACTTTAAAACCAACTTTACACTGATTGAACACGACCAATCTTGTTCTAACCAATAACCTTCACCAACACACTGCAGCACACCAACCAACTGTCGAACAGACAATCTGCTTTGTACGAGCCATACTACCACAACAAGACTTTCTCAATGAATCTCAAAATCTGACTCCTCTTCTGAATACTCCAACACGTTGCTCTTCTTCTGACTTGACACAGGATCTAACTCCTCTGACAAATGAATCTTTTTCCTCAATCAATCAATATTTTTCAACTATTGCTAGTTCCAGGCTCTGCCTTTTTATACTATGCTTGCTGGGCAGAGCTTAAAATTGCAGTTGCTACTGTGAGCACTGATTGGCTAGCGTACGTGATGATCTACAAGTGGGTTGGATATTGAGTGCTGTATAAATACTAGCGTTGGCAGCAATGTGATTGGTTAGCGCACGTGATGATCTACAGGTGGGTTGGACATCGAGTGCTGTATAAATATGAGCGTTGGCAGAAATGTGCAGCAATATGATATTGACCTAGGAGTGAGTATTGTCTGTTAGACCAGCGAAACCGTGTGTTACTATGTGGGATGTTCCCACACCACCAATGCTTGGGGTATCTTGAACATAAACTGAGGAGTTATTGTGGATTTTTCTATGAAACTGCTTTTACAAAAAAAGCAGTCTTGGCATTTCTAGGAAGTAGTTCTCTGGCAAGGCTTGGCAGTCAAATAGATAAAACAGACAATAACTGCTTTCTTTTGTAAGCTCCAAAATTTATCATTCATAATCATTATCCAACTTGATGCTATAAACTGTACAGATGAGAACGTGTCATTGCACAAAGACACGCACAATTAAAAAATAGGGCTCACCATGTTTTCCACAAGCTGGGGCCGATGCCTGCGGACAGTTTTCACAGCCTGGAAGATGTCCACTTCTCCGTGCTGAATAACTTGCTCAATGCAAGCATTTGCTGCACAGTAGACCCCACAACGACTGCGTCCATCCCTGCAACAACATGTAACATACTATATTGCTTGTCATAAGAGTTATTTAGAAATATATCAACTACATAAATTGCTTAGTGATGAATGTAATGGTAAGTCGGTTATGGATATTGCAATGGGAAGGTTGGGCAAAGAAGAGTCATACAAGGGAACTGTGCTTGAAAGAATGTAGAAAAGTAATGCATGATCAAGATTCAAGCCAGGTTCTTTCCATGTATTATCATATTACTGCTTGGACTCACTAATTTACTATGCAACATGGTGGAGGACTGGAGGTGAGGAGTGGGATGCAACTAAAATGTTACCATAATGCAGTAGGAGATCTCTGATATCAATATGTTCATGTATACTTGTAGTAAAGTATTCTGTCATATTCTTATAACTACATAAAATGATAAACATTACACTCAGAAATCAACTGAAAGACCCAGGTGAAGTTTGGAGGATAATATTAAAATGGATGTTATATGCATATACATAGAGTGGGATGTTGCCAGCCATTGCGCTGTACATCACATTTATTAGTAGAACGGTGTATTTTGACTAGCAAGCATAACCATCATGTATGTATGTATTATATCTCTTATTACATAAGTTGGTACAGTGCTTTTGCATTATTAATTATATTTGATTTGATTAAATTTAATTAACGTATGGAACATGAAGCTGACTATAGGATAGTTGAAATGTGTTGCTCTACTATTTAATTTCAGTTTTAATTTTGTTGTTTGTTATCAGAAGAGTATCTGATACTGTTTCTGACAGTAACATCTCTCCCTTATGCAACACTCATGAACAGAATTGAACAGGAAAGGTACCACTAATTAGTGAACTATAATCAGATCCTTTATCTGAAATATCTGGAACTATACAGACATACACTTCCACAATAATGTAGAGTGTAGACACATTACTGGTTAATGATCTTGAAACAAACAATGAAACAGCACTTGCTCCTGGGCAACAGATTCTTAAAACAAGTGTATGCAGTCATTATTACATTATCCCTTCACAAGCAAACACATTCCCATGGAAATGATTGGAATCTGTGAAGAGAAGGCTTAGTTAGTACAGTTGAGACCCAGCGGGCAATGAAGTGAGCGTAAAAGCCATTACCAGAGAACAGCTGGTGAAGACAAAGCAGACTGAATATACTTAATGTGTGTTGGAGTGATTAATGATGGCCCTATAATTAAATGTAGTCATGAGTTGTGTGTTAAAGTGGTCAATAAATCCAATCTACAATCCAAAAACCCTGTTGATATCCACTCAGATACCTGACAATAATTATTTCTTCACCTAACCCTACACTGCTTCTCTTTTGTGCCTCGATAATTCTTGAACACAGAACAACTAAAAGAATTAATAGAACTGTCACAATCACAGTCATTTTTTTTTCTGTGGCACTACAGCCCCAATTTGGGCCTAGGCCTACCTCCATGAAACTCTCCATTTCACTTCGGTTTACTAGATCTTACACATTCGGTAGGACTCCTTGGGCGAGTGATCAGCTCATCGCAAGGCCTCTACCTGTAGACAAACACAGAAAAACGCACACAAACATCCATGCCCTGAGTGGGATTCGAACCCACGATCCCGGCTTCCGAGCGAGCGAAGACAGTGCATGCCTTAGACCGCTCGGCTACCGTGACTGGCCCACAGTCATTTTAGAGCAGGCAATATTGAATATGCATTATGTTCAGTCTACAAGCCTTATCAAGTGCAGTCAAGGCTCCAGACAATTAAGTATTTGTTAGCTGATCTTCCCTCACTCATCCAAGGCTGAATATATTTATGAATTATGCAATAAACTGAGAATGTTTCTTCTAAAGAAAGCAGATATGTGAAGAGAAAGTTCTTCCTGCCCCATACCCTGTGCTTGGAAAGGAATCACAGGGGCCACCAGGATCTATATGCTCAATACTGAAGTAAAAAGAAAACCATTCCGATAAATTAAAATTTTTTCTTGCAGTTGAAACAGATTTACTTACGGAGATACAACAACCACTGGCCCATATTCTGTGCGTTGACGCCATCGTTCTACCATATTCATCAACTCTACAAGTGAGTTAGTTGATGTTGGTACCTTATGACCCATGGGCCAGCATCCAAGTTGGAAGAGTTGAACAGTTCTTGGGGGTGCCTTCACACCAGCCATCAGTTCAGTGAGTGATACAATCTAGAAATAAATTGTGGGAACTGAGGTTAACAGTCATTCTTTGAAGCAATATGGCATGGCATACAGTGAAATTACATTATAACTTATGACATGTCTAATGTGGAGAATATTTTTAAAAGAGGATGATTAAAATGAATTGTAATAAGCTTGAATACTTTAAAACACAAGTAGCTTGACAGGGCAGAACCATTACTGAGAAGATGACAGGTTCTTCATTTTCTTTTATTGTACTGTGGCCACTTTTGGCCTATTGTAGCAGCCCCAGATGATAGGTGAGGGTGACTGTGGAGCAATTGATGGAATGAAGATTGGCAGCGCCACTTCGTCCACCAGAAATCCCACTTGACCAGACCCAGGTTGGTCAAGTGGGATTTGTGGTGGACAAAGTGGCGCATTGGGAAGCCAGCGACTAACCGCTTGAGCTATGGTGCGGCCATAGGTTCTTAGTTGGTCAAAAAATTCCCTGCCTTTCACAGAACTCTGTGGTTCATCAGTGTGTTCACAAGAGCTCATTAATCACCGCTACCTGTGCAGAGCCGGTCAAGTCAAGTCCACAGCCTTATGTCCTGTTTCCTTCAATATACATTTTAATACTATCCACCCACCTATACCCACACTTCCCAAGCAATTCCTTCTATTTTGGCCTTCTGTATAAGTTTTGGTGAACATATCTTACCTTCTCCATGTGTACTACTATATGTTCCAGTCACCTCATTCTCCATGATTTTACCATCTTATTATTATTGGTAAAGGGGACTAATTATGAGACAGCTCAATACTGAATCTTTTGCATCCTGTTACTTCATCTATAACTCCTGTAGAAAGGCTATTGAAAAATGAGCTTCAGCAGTTTCTGTGCATAGTAGAGACAGAATGTGTGTAGAAAGAACATAATCATACTCCCTAAAGACATATAGACACACGTGCGATACAAACATGATATATACAGCTCAGTATTCTGATATTCACAGCTACAACACCATACATGAGCATAGTTTGTAAGTCCAATTTTGTAATACCGATCGTTGCAAGGAAGGTGTGATTGATATGGGAACTAAAATATTGAATTGTCTTCCCCTTGAATTGAGAAGCGTTAGAGATATGTTTTTAAGAGGAAACTAAAAAATTATTTGCTGTGTAGCGCTTTCTATTCTCTTCGAGAGTTTTTCAACTAATATTGGATTGATGACTAGCTTATTGATTGTCTTTTGGTTTGCAATTTTTAATATTATGTTTAGATGTTTTATAATACTGATGTTTTTCTTTTGGTCTTATGAATTTGTAATTGTTATGTTCCTTATAACGGTTGTTATATTATAGTGATAAATCAATGTGTAAATTTTATGTGACTTTGACATGTGATGTATTCGATATTATTTCTTGACATGTCCAATTGTATTTACTTTAGTTATGGATGAAAATAAAGTTGAAAGTTGAAAAACACACACACATACACAGATTCTATTCAGTTATTTGTCATATCTTGAGAGTTTACACATCATTTCAGGGAATTCCAAATTATAAATTGAAATGATTAGTCAGTTATCAATCATTTTAATAGCTTGGCCAGTATATGTAGTGATTGGCTATGGGCTGGACCACCAGGGTTTGAATCCTGGTAGAGCCAAGAGATTTTTCTCTACCCTACAGAATCCAGACTGGCTGTGGCGCCTACCCAGCTTCTTATCCAATAGGTACCAGTGGTCTGTTTCCCCGGGGGTAAAGCGGCCGGGGAGTGAAGCTGACCATTCAGCCCCATCTAGTGTCTAGGTCAAGAATAGTGGAGCTATACCTCCACTCCCATACATCTTTGTGGTCTGGTGCTAAATTAATTAATTAAGCATAGTTACAACTTCTTTTATAGTTTCTTGGGGTGGGGTGAGGTTGAGTCCACTTGGTATGCTGGCCATTAACTGGCCTCTTGTACCTGTACCAGCCCCAGATGATAGATGATGAGTGTGAAGCAGTCAACAGAATGAGAATTGGCAGGGAAAACCGAAGTACTTGGAGAGAACCTGCCCCAGTGCCACTTTGTCCACCACAAATCCCACATGACTTGTAGAGACTACTTTACTTTTAACCTTGATCAATTATTATCACCATAGCAAAATGTCCTGTACTGTCACCAAGTGGTTATTTTCTACATACAATAAATACTGGCAGGGAGGGAATCTTACTCATAGCTAAATCTGTAAAATGACTGATATTGTGGAAGCCTACCACAATGCATCTCCAGGCCAACTACCAACTTTTGGTCTACTGGCAGAGCGAATCAAGTGCTAGCCAATCAGCGCAGATGACGGCAGCGCCAATGCCCATTGGACTGGGCACTGCTAGGAACAGTGGATAAAGATGCAGACCACATCATGCTAGTGAGCCAGTCGCAGCTACTCTTACTTTGTGGCAGCATTGGGAGCGTACAAGGCGACAGCGTCCCTCCTATCAGCAATGCTGCCAAGCGACTACAAAAGCAGTTGCCTCGACCTTTGGAAACCCCTCCGCCAGTGTGTGCCACTCTATGGCTGGCTCTTAAGTCACCTGGCTACCGAACATGGAAGAATTTACGGGGTTTTCTCTCCAAATACCAGAACCAACAGCGCCACAAAACAATGAGAAACAGTACTGGCTTGTACTGTTACCTACACAATTTAAACATATTATACCCTATTTGGCATAATGGGCCACAGCACATTCTACCAGCATATTAAAAATTATGGAAAGAAATGAGACTCATGGATAGATGGTGACCAAATATAGATGATACTTTTCTGTAACCATGCATAATATTTTAATAATACACATGACTCAAAAATGAAAAATATCTTCATTTCTTGCATACTGTTTCTCAGTTGCCTTTCTTAAATTACTAAAAAAATTAATGAAGTATGTTTTACATACCTTCTTATTAATACGAAATACCCATGTCTTGATGTTTGTATAGTGGTTATGTGAAATGTGGTCAATTGTGAATACTGGGCCATATTTTTTGGAGTGTCGACCCTCTGGCCAGAAAGAAGGATAATTCTGCAACAAGAAAAGAGAAGCTGAGTTGTATGTAGGTATATTAGAATAAAATTTGAGTACTTGGTTAATATTAATGAATATTTACATCACAAAATGTTCGTTATTAGAAACACAGAAATCAGAAAAATGAATTATAACTAAAAATATTTACTGCTGATAAAATTCCCATCTAAAATTTTAGCACAAAACCTTTATTGGTTATTTCTGTTATTTCTAAGTCATATGATACAAACTGTCACACAAACTTATACTGCAAACTCCCTGGTTTTTATCTACTTTTTTATATATCTCCGCATTTTAAGAAATTTGTACATACTGTCTATATACATGTTTAGCTGACATTTTTACAGTGCCTCGTGACAACCATTTGTAATAACAAATGTAGTGTATATTAAGAAATAAAAACAAAAAGATTTCTTACTGTAAGTTTGTGTAATATTTTATCTTATGAATTAAACGCACAGAGGATGGATTTTATAAAATTGTACTGTTATTGCTTACAGATTTATTTCAATATAATTATTAAATGAAGTTTCAAATTTCAACACAAAAATGAGACCCCAGTAAAGGACCTGCTTACATAGGTTGGTGGAAACCTTATAGATCTTGCACAATTGTACATGCATGGGCACATATTCACACACTCTCTCTCTCTCTCTCTGTGATTCAATGTCCTATGGCCAAAGTTTAGGAGGAAAATGCAGAAATAATTTGGAAGAGCAAGTGTATAAATTTGTTTGATTCATCACCCTTGTCAAGTTGTGATATTTCTCCACTTTTTAAAGAAATTAAATAATTGTCAATTCATGAATAAATTAAATTATATACATATAACACCTTTATTAATTACTCTTAATTATGAAGAACTGAATATATAAGTTTCCTAAGTTATTAGACCTCTTATGTTTGAATTTTACACTATGTTTATCATAAATGAGAGGTCATATAAGGGGGACTCACACAGTTTGATGTATCTCTTCACAACACCTGCTTGAAGTTACCTTCTGGAAAATGGTATTTCAACCAGTTATGTACTTTGAATGAAAAATCTCATGCTGAAATGTCACGCCCTCATGAACACCAAAGGGTACATCCTCTGCTAAGAAGAAATGAGCATACTGTTCCACCAAGTCAATTCGCCATTATGGCCAAAAAATGTAACCATCTTCGATTCTGGACAGAATACTGGCACTAAATCTCAGATGAAATGAAGAGCATCGAGTAATGTGAGGTTTCTTTAGTGCTCATTCATGTAGTTTTGAGATTCTTTACTCTAATCTTCGTGAATGCTATCTAATCTGTCCAAATTGCAAGGCACAGCAAGTCAGGCTCATCTACAATTTCGTTTAGAAATTACTGACAGAAATTGAGGCAAAGGTTATTATCCCCTGGCTGCAGCCCTTGTATACCTTGTACATGAAAATGATACAACTGCTCCTGATGCATTGTATGTCAGGTTACACTCTGATAGAGGCCTGTTTCATTATTAACCAAATGAATGCTATTCAGTATATCAGCATTTACAGCACCAAGAACTTTATCATCAGTCTGCATGTCATTTCTGCCATGTCCAACTTGTGCTGGTGGCATGAATGCACTTGTTTCTACTAGACTCTGGTGTACTGTTGCAAACATGTCTGTTGGATTTCCTCTGATGTGGATACTGATACGGATACTTCCTTGATACAGCTGTAGAAATGCCATCACAGACACTATACATAAAATGCATATCAGTACGCTTCACATTAGAAAATCATACTATTTTATTTTGCTGTTGTCACTACTTTGCCACTGAAAGTGATAGGAGTCATGAGCAAGCATAGTATGAGCTCTGTCTTGTAACACTCTTAAGGCTCCATCACACAAACATACAAAAAAGTCTCAAAAGCTGTAAGCCTGAAACAGTGGCAAATCAGGCAACTGTTCATATTTTCTCCACAAAAACCTCCTGAAGTCAGCCCATAGAACTTTGAATGAGCCTGTATATACTGCTCAATATATTTCACAACTCCATCCCATGGTGGCTTGTGACTTTCTCAACATATGGAGCCAGGACCAAATAACCCTTCCCCCCTCCCATTTCCATCCTGTAACTAAGAAAACAGGAACATTTATTTTCTTCTTTAAATGTTCACATTTCAAGGGTTTGTTTGTTATGTTACAAAGTATCTATTTTCTTTATAAACTATAGGCTCATTCTGTGTGAACGGGAGCATTTTGAACAAAGGAGCTGCATTCCTTGTCACCTGTGACTGAATACCTTACTCTTCTTGAAAGAAATATAATGCCACCTCGAGTTGGGGGAGGATTCAGGGCCTGCTAGACTCATCTGTGCTTTCTAACATCAACACATCGATCATACAGACAGACTGACAGACTTTCATTGTAAAACATGTTACAATCATATCAGCACTACAAGCTGTGGCTTACACTGTTGTGCTAAATTGAACAATATACTTACTGTGTTGTTTGGAGGAACACACAAGACAACAACTGCAGCACATTCATAATCATACACCAAACTCCAGAACTCCCCACATGTATGTTTGAGTGGCCACTCCGTAACAATGTACTCCCTAGGTTTTGTATAGCCCTGCAATGTACACCTGACAGAATGTTACAATAACATAATCTGCAGCAATTAGATCTAACAGTGATATAACCATTCATTGCAGATATTTCAAGAAAGCACTAGATTTGCATGTAAATAAAGATTCTTACATCCACAAAAACTGCATTTATGTAATCGGTAAAGTTGTTTCCCTGAAATGAGGTAAGATATGGTCTGGAGTTGTCAGCTGAAACAAAGACATTGAAATAAAATTTCTAATTATATGCAGTTTAGAATTAAAACTAATACATTCATTGCCAGTTTATCCCTGCAGATTAACTGGCTATGGGTAAATAAATTAACACATCAATATTAAATTATAAAAGCAAATACCTCATCAAGGTTATGTCAAGTGTTGCATATTTTGATTCTTCATATCTTGTAATGAAATCTGTTGATATATTGTAATGACTGGATGACATTTATTGAAGGAAAGCTTAAATATTTCAACAATTAGCTAAGATGATGTAGGAAGAGTGCACTCACCTGAGAATGAGATGCTGATGTTGGCAATGAAAGTGTTAACTATGGGAAAGAACTCGTGTTTCAAGGAAGAAGGAAGCTTATTTGTTAGAATTCATAATGATGTTACTGTATATTATAATTTTATTTAATGAACTTCATAGAAAATTATGGTACTCACGAGGCACAATGAGAACATCCCTGTTTTTCTCTCTGTTGTCTCCCCGGTGCCCTCCTGCACAGTCTCCAATGGTGTAACGTGGTGTTTGTTTACAAATTTGCTGCAAAATAGTTGTAATATTATTCATAAATATTTTCAGAATCATTCTGCTAGGGGCAGTTGTAAGGACAACAATAATATTTTTGATTGCATGGCCTCCTTCACAGTATTATACTTATTGTTGCATCCTGTTGCACTTCTCACTTAGTGTCTGTTATTCATAGTCTTATCTGCAACCCCACAAAACTTGTTAACTTTAAAAATGTAAAAGTTTAAAAGTTCGCTACATGTTTCAGGCAATATGGCCATCATCAGGTGTTAAAATATTTTTGATAAGGAAACTGCTGTCTTCTGTTGTTAATATTTATGCAGGTCCCTTCGATGTTCTTGTGTATTGGATTTGGTGCATTGTGTTCTTCCTTGCTGTGTTTTTTGCTGCTTGTCTTGTCCATGGATGTTCAGGATATATATTAACAATGCAAGACAGTGGTTTCCTTATCAAAAAGATTTTAACCCATGATGATGGCCATATTGGCCAAAATATGTAGTGACATTTTAAACTTTTAAAGTTAACAAGTTTTGTGGGACGTGGTGTTGCACGTAAGACTGTGAATAATAAATTCTCTTTCACAGTATCTGAGAATAATGGGAAGGAAAAGTAAAAACAGATGATGTAAATCACTGAGTTTAAATAACAATGAAGATCATAATTTTAACTTTTTCCATGTAACATGTAGGTACATGCCATTGCAGTAATGTAATACAGCTGATAAAGTTTAACAGCTGTAAAATCTGAAGAATACATAATCTCAAATTGGTTTCACTGAATAACTGAAGCAGCATGTAATGGACATACCAAAACCAACAAAATGCTATCCTTTTCATGCTGAGAACAATTCAGAAAACAATGCCTTTTATGCTTATATATTTTGATTATAGTTTATAATTTCTGTAGATGAAAAATCAAAAATAACTTCAGCTGCTCTGAGATTACAAGGAAATTTAATTTCATTGATATCATAGAAACAAAGGTTATCATATCAGAAGCAACCATAGTTTTGAGTGATATATCTCATTTTTCAGCATATAAATAGTGGAGGTTAGGCTACACTTATGTCAATATATATAACATACTGCAGTCATCTGATAAGTTGAACCCTCATTCAACGGGTAATGGAGATGGGAGTGGTGGCTGCCAGGATGTTGTGCAAATGCTGAAAACTTTCTACTGTGCTGTTAGGTGGAGACTTTCTATACTCTACCTAGATGCTTTCCACAGCAAGAGGCAGGATGAGCAGGGCTCACAGAAACTGACATGGAGAGCATTTGGCCCATTTCATCTACCTATATATAAGTACTTGGCAGATGAGGGTTTTATAGTTATGGAGCTCTTTATTACTAATGAAGATTGTACCTGATATTCTCTTTGGTATTCATTCATCTTGGTGATTACATTCTTCATGGATTTCTGTTTCAGCCTCTGTGAAAGCTCTTTTACAGGAAACCATGAAGCTCCACAAATTACAAATTCCTCCAGTGTGTCGTATACAAATTTGTATTGGTCCTGTAAAGTAATTAGATTGCTTCTTAATTAATCAGGAATAGTTTAATGCACTTATAGGAAAGAAAAGTTATAAAGGTGTCTAGGTATATTTGTATTCATTCCTAATTACAACATTAAATAGGTGTGAGTGGTCAGATTGGTACCAATTGGGCAGAAGGCTTGATGGGCCTCAGAGCCATCATGAATATGGTGGTAAAGAAACAAATCTCAATGTCCCCCACCAGCATATGAAACCTTAGACAGTCAATCACTTTACTAACTGTGCTGTGCCATCACTGTTTTTTTCATTTACAGATGCTAAACAAAAAAAAAAAAANTGATTTTAGTCCACAAGCGAACTATACCGACTGAGTGACTGCCGCTTGTCGGCGAAGTTAGTGCCAACTTTTGCAGATAGAGGGTGTCATGTGGTCAGCACAACGAATCCCTATGGCTGTTAATTTCGGTTTTTTAGATTAGATTCATTTACACATGCTACAAGAATTAATGTGTCTATGCCATGGAGATATAAATACTAAAGTCACATTGAGAAACATAACTAATATACACATGCACACATACACTAATGATCATATTTATAAGGAAACTAGCTGTACCTGGCCATGTATTGCTGTGGCTCAGTCTGGTTAAATGGAAAAGAAAGAAAAGAGAAAGCGCACATTTCTAATATGTTAAATTTCACAATGCTTGTGGGTATACAATATTTTTTGTTGTTCCATTGTCTGTGCAGATATAGAGATTGTCTGGTTTGCCGACTCTAGAACGCGCAACATATAATTGTCCATGTGAGAAGCAACCCGTGTCTAGATCTAAACCGCACAATTCTAAAGATTTGCCCTGAGCTTTGTTGATGGTGATTGCAAACGCCAATCGAATTGGGAATTGCAATCTCTTAAATTGAAATGGCACATCCGTTGGAATCATATGAATGCGAGGAATGAGGACATATTCACCTTTGAAAGATCCTGTCAAGATTGTTGATTCTATGACGTTGCTCAATAATTTTTTTACTGCAAGCCATGTGCCGTTGCAAAGCTTTGGCTGGTTGATATTTCACAACATGATAATTGGCACGCCTATTTTCAATTGCAGTATGTGCGGTGGTATCCCTGAGAGATCTCGTGAATTAAAAAATTCTGTTGGATAATTAACCGCTTCATCTGCTTCCACAACAGTGTCGACGGAGACTTGTATGTGACTGCCTCGCATTGAATGTTAGACTGAATGATATTGTTAAGTTCATAGACATCTTTGTTCTTAGCCGCAAGAATAGCTCGTTCACTCAGCCAATCGTGATTCTTATAATTGGTTTGAATATTGGGAAATACTTTTTCAACCAATTCTTCTTTTGACGTCACTAAATTGCAGAAGTTATGAGGCAATGAAATTCGTCCAGAGGTCAGATCAACCGGCACCTTTCCGATCCCAATTTCCAGCAATTGATGTGAGAATATCTCAGCTGATCGATCGTTTTGCAGCTGGACACGCATATTTGTAGTTAATTTTAACGTTTTTGCGTGTCGCCACAAAGTAGAGTAAACTGCCTTAATCAGTTAGTCTTTACAATGCAGATGTAGTGTTGTATCCTGTGAGATAGAGACTGAATTTGTAAATATTATTTACCAGAAATTTCTGCTTCAAAGAGAAAATATTAAAATATGCTTTAGGGAATCAGATTGTGGGATCAGATTGTAAAGAACTGAATTTATTGTTATACGCTTTAATACAGTAGTGGACTTTTAGGTTGATGATGATGATGTTGGGCTCTATAATAGGGAGTTTCTTGATCACACAAATAAATACTAACTTCTCAAGGAAGACAACATATCCAGGGGTCAGCTATGTAATCTAGTACTGTACCTGACTTAAATACTATCTAATCAGTTCTGGGGCAAAATATTCTTAGAGATGTTAATATTTATTTAACTAATTAAGAAATTTCCATTTTTTTAGTATCCAAATGACCCATTATATCCTAATCATTATAGTGACTAGGATACAGCTGAATGATGAGGTGAATTCCTCGCACGAACAGAGATATTTATCTACATTATGTCCAAATCGGCTCTGAGGCCCACCCAGCCTCCAGTTCCATGGGTACCCGGAGCTCCTTCCCATTGGAGATAACAGCCAGGGCATGAATCAGATAACAATCTCACTCACCTTCTTGTAATTCCAAGGTTAATTATATGTTGGATTATATCTCTGCTCCCCATATATCATCACTGCATGGTTTCCAATCAGTTCAGTTATGTACATAACCTGAAGCTTTGTTGCTGTGATCTTTGATCATATTCTGAGCCATTTCAACAAGTTCATATTTTGCCACTTGTTTCAGTTCTTTTAGATTTAATCAGAATAACACCATGTGAAGAATTTAAATCGTGAAGCTCTTCATTATGACATTTTATCCATCCTTTTGTCACTTCCTCTTTCTAGGACCAATTATGTTTCACAGTGCTTTGTTTGTGAACGCCCCCAAACTATGTTATTCTCTCAGAAGCCAAGTTTTACATCTGCATACAATAACAGCTACCAGTGGTATGTTATACATAATTTTACCACACAAATGTAAATCTGCTGCGCTTTCCAACCATAATTTGTATTAAACTGAAAGCAAGTCATGGACATCGGCCCACTTGAAGAATTTAAATTATTATGAGGCAGAAAATGTACAATAACAGTAGTCATAACACATAGAAAGAAGGGTCATTCAATAAATAAGTCAACAGACTGTATATTATACTGTTATGCCATCTCTTACAGCCTCACATACATGTAAGACAGAATATAAAATTGTCATACACATAGAGCAGTAACTATATGAACCCATCTGTCATCTTATCAGCCACACCCCCTCCTATTTGGAAACAGTGTAAACACTCATTATAATAGACTGATAGGGGGGACAGGGTGTCTGTTATTGCTTATGTCCACTCTAACCGAATGAAGGGATATTTATGGAAGTACGCCATAGGATACATAGCCAATACATGCAATAAGCACAGAAACATGCAATGTGACTATATGAAGGATTTCATATAGGTGTTCTTTTTATTTTAAATAGTTTACTAACTAGAAAAACTTCCTAGTGCCTGAACATCTCTAAAAAATCACAATTGTACACAGCCAGATCTTGTCTATCATATCTGGGTCCATTACAACAAGGGTTTACCGTAATGAGACCTGAGAAACATGGAGTTACCGTATTTACGCATGTATAGGCCGCGTGCGTGCATAGGCCGCAGCACAATTTTCAGACAGAAATTATAGAAAAAATAATTTTCTTGGAATATTATTTCAGGAGTATTACACCCTGTATTACTAATTATGAATATAATTTTTTTTCTTGAATTTTTGGCAAAAAATGTGCGGCCTATACATGCGTAAATACGGTAACTGGTAAGTGGCGGCCAAGAGGGTCAAACTTGTTAGTACTTAGTTCCAGATGAAACAGGTTTAAAGTGAATACCCATTTATAAGAACAGCAGCACACAGTGGAATATGGAGTGGGGATGGATCAATTGCAGATAATGCCAGAACAAGTCAACTACATGAGGTCATTTGCAATCTGTTTCTGTCCTCAGCCACACAAAGTGCATCTTAAACGAATTGCAGTAGAGGTATTGGATCACGGTCATGCATTTTTGTCTAATACCCTTGTGGCTTTCACAACTTAGGGCCACTGAAGATGACAGTGAAAAGCTGCCAACGGTTCTGATTGGATGCTTAAGATGTGAAGGATACAGTGAAAACTTTCTTTCAGCAGAAACAATTATCTTCCTCTGAAAACTGCATAAATACTCCAGTGAAATATTGAGGCATATACCTTAAAGGGACTGGATATGCATCTTAAATAAAATGAAGTTTTATATATATGTCTTTCTTTTCCATTTATTTATTGAATGACCCTCAATAATGACACTGAATTGTTCATACCAGCGTTTCAATAAGTCCTTTTCTGGACTGCCTGAGTTTCTTGAGGTATCCAAACACATCAAAACAGTCTTCCTCTTCAGCCAGTTCCAAGTTTGCATCTATTGCTAGATAAACACCCGATCTTCCGCCACCATCACTAGAAGGTTATCAAGAGTACCATTGTTATAAAATTAAAAATAACGTAATAACATACTGAGTGGTCTATCAGAAAATTATTTCCAGCAATGTTTATACTTGTCAGAGATGCTGAATGTATGTATGTCAGAAGGTAAGTTCTTAGAAGGTGACCACAATCACTAAGTGTGACAATATATTTTCTTTATAGAATCAGTCTGATCATTTGTCAGATCTTGTATTGCTACAAGTTATGCAAAACAGAAATCTACAGAAAGCATAGTGTAAAATTTTATGTTCGCATGCATCATACATAAGAAGAAGAAATTGTCACCTTCTCTGGAAAATTGTGTCAAACCAAAATTTTGATGTTCACATGCATTATACTTGACTTTTCTGGGCTAAACTACAAACCCATCATCTTATACCATATATATAGTTATTTATGTAACATTTTTTACCTCAATGATTTCTGTGTAATCGCATGAAAACAACATGTATTTTAAGTACAAATGATTTAATTTTGTAAAAGGTCCATTAATTTGTCTTTCAGTACTTTGGCAATTTTAATTACTAAATATAGTGGTAGCTTATGGTGCTACTTTGATTATACTCACTTGCAATGCACCACCATGGGTCCATGCTTGGCAGTTTGGTGGGATCCAACAACAGCACGTATCCGTCTCCGAAATTCAAGAACTGAATTGGAAAAAGGGCAGGTATGGCTTGGCCATTCTGTGTAGTGGAACTGGAGAATTCGTCTTTCTTCTTTAACATCCTATTTGAATCAGAATCATGTCATGAAACACAGCATAGATATATACTTATTACTTTATGTGGCAATGA